ACTCATCATTACCAGTCAACAACATTGTATGAGATACCTGCTGATATAACGTCGGAAAATTCACTAGTAAAATCCAAGGTTATGAAATAATTGTCCCCTGCGCAATGATACTGGTATGTCCTTCCGTCTAATACACGTCAATACTCAGATACCGTCTGATTTAAATTTCCATACTAGGTAAACTTATTTGTCGTCTTATTGTCTCGGCCGTGTTATTTCGTCAGTTTGGTTTAATATTTTGTACGGGAGTTATGGAATTTTGACAGGATTTTTAAGTATTGTAATACGAAGACATTTGGAACATAGTGTTCTGAGTCCGTTTAACAAAACGTTCTCATATTTGATAAGATTGTTTGCCATCATATGTAGTTGACCAGATTGACAGCCATTGAGTCAACTATTCCTACACGAGTTAATGGACTTTGACCGTTTTTTTAATGTTATACCGAAATTTTGATTCGACCATTTTTATGGGAGTGAGGGGACTTTTACTATATATTTTTACCGGTATTGTAACAATAAATGCGTGTGAACGCAACTTTTCTCAGAGGATTTGATTGAAAGCTCTCAAATTTAAAATATATTGTTTGTCATCATGTGTAGTTGATCATATTATACCGTTATTTTGATTTAAAAATTTTTGAGGCAAAAGTGAGAATATTTTTTGAAGTATTGTTATAAGGTTACCTTGTGAACGCATTACCCCTGAAACCATTTGACTGAACACTCTCGTAATTGGTCAGGTTGTATGTTTCCCATCATGTGTAGTTGGACATATTATTTCGACATTTTGATTTTACCATTTGTACGGAAGTTATGGGACTTTTACGACATTGTGAATATCGGACCACAAAGTCACACAATATAATTCCTTATTTATACAGGGCTGGGGACATATCGCTACGGCATAGCAATTTTGTATTTTTAAAATGAAATAAAACATTAAAAAAAATTTGGTGTAACTCATTTTTTCTTGGTATTTGATTTTATAAACGGATTTTCAATTTTCTTAACGCAATATTTATATAATCTAAAATATTATGAACACTATGCAAACGAAAATACCATTTTGAAAGTAAACAAGACACCAGTGGTGCTTATAAACATCAGAAGTAAAAAAAAAAAAAAAGCTAAAAGGAAAAGACAGAATGCATATGTCAAAACACTTAACCTTTGGTCTTGGTTGGTTTTATTTTATGACAAGGGCATGTATATATTACTCATCTACCAGCAAACGTCAGAATTTTTTAATTGATAACAATACAAATGATGTAAGGACCGTTTCCTTAAATTCGTTAACTAATAATTAATTTGAATTAAACAACAACAACACAATAACCCCACCTATCTATTGACTTGTTATTTTTTCTGTAAACTGTTTCATTTGTAAAACGCAGAAATCCTTCATTCATTAGGGGAAAACATACTTATAAAATTTTAATAGTAAAATAATAGATCGAGTTTAGGAAATCACGTAAGACAGGAAACACAGCTACGCTTTGTTAGGTAGCGTAATTGCATGCGTGCATTTAAGTCCTTACACATGTATGATTCTGTGCTAACAACACTTATCATCGAACACAACAAATACGTGTGTAATCAATAATTTCTGGAATGAACTTAATAATGTAAGCTCGTGCCAAAGTCATACATATTTAACTTTTACGACATTTTAATTAAAAGCAATTAGGATCAAAACAAAACGACAAAAAGCGTAACAAATTCAGCATTGCGTAATGAGTGTTGCAACCTTTAATTATAAAAAAGAAGATGTTATATGATTGCCAATGAGACAAATCTCCACAAGAGACCAAATGACACATAAATTAACAACTATATGTCACATTAAGGCCTTCAACAATCAACAAAGCCCATTCCGCATAGTCAGCTATAAAAGACGCCGAAATGACAAATGTAAAACAATTCAAACGAGAAGACTAACGGCCTAATTTATGTACAAAATAATGGACAAAATACAAATATGTAACATAGCAACAAATAACAACCACTGAATTACAGGCTTCTGACTTGGGACAGGCAAATACATAATGTGGGCAGGGTTAAATTACTTTGAAGGCACCAACCCACCCCCTAATCTTGGACAGTGTCGTAACAGTTCAACATAAGAACAAACTATAAAAATCAGTAGAAAAAGGCTTAACTCATCAGATGGATACAAATAGAAATGCATCTAACACACACAGAGTGAATGTGGACGGGTACTTGTACAACCCAACAACAAAAATGTTAAATTAAGTTTAGCAGCATATCACAAAATCTTATGAACTGAAAATTTTACAAAAAAATTTGTAACTTCAATTACATCAAGTTCGAGATGATATCTACCGTGCGAGTAGTTCTCGATTGGAGACTTAGTCGATCATTTGCGCATTTAACCCAGTGACAGTACAACATACTATGATATCTGTATGCAGAAATGTATAATTTTATACAAGTATTGTATAACTTTCCTAATGTACAATTCAATTAAATTTTTTATTTACACTCAGACCATAATACTGTTAAGGTAAATTATGCAATAGCTGACAATGACATGAGGACAGCATATTTTGCTTTTTCAGTACTGATGGGTACGTTGTATAATATTTCGATATATATTTCTTTCTAAGTTCAGTGATAGAAGTATCATTACATAAATATTAATAATTATGTTCATCACCAACATATTCATTAAATAAGGGACATATACGATCGGTTCTAGCGATGTTGTACCATCTGCCAGCTTCCATAGGACTTTTTAGATTGCATGTTCTCAGTTTCGAAATTCAGATTCTTTTATCCTCTGGAAGACGTAGTAAATAATTTTCAAGACCAAACTGAGCTTTAAATTACTTATAATATTCTCCACGAGAAGAATTATCAATATAACTAAACCACTTCTGAAGAAACTGATCCTGATGCATCTGTTTTATAACAGGTTTTATATTTAAATAATCAATGTATTGGTTAAAAAGATATAACCTAATCCTGAATTGTCAAATATAGACTTATATATATACACAATTGACACCCATTTAAATTTACAAATATCATCAGTAATTTAAAAAATAAGCTTATACATAGAGCAACTAACTTTGTTTTCATTTTTGCCATTCTACTCCAAAACGATAACATTCTTAATTTTACTTTTATTTCTAAAACTCCATATACCATAAAATTTGGAGCACATTTAAAACTCTCTTGCAAAATGGTAGATGAACTTTTTCAATTATATCAATATTTTCAAATCCCCATATTTCTGATCCATACAATAAAATAGGTTCTACAAGATAATAAAACAGTTTAAGTTGTAAATCAATGGGTAAATGCAAATTTCTAATCGTCTGTGTTAATACAGCAAAAAGTACTTTTTGCGACTCTTCCACAAGTTTTTTTCTTGTATCTTTGCACAAAAAAAATGACCCATTATAATTTAGCAAAAGACCAAGGTATGTATAGCTATCTACAATTTCAAGAGATGTACACACGGGACCTCAAGTTTGAAAAGTCAAAATATTGAACCTTTTTGAAGGTTCTTAAACAAAGTTTCCTAAATAAAACAGCCCTATCCGTGATCAAATTTGCCAAGCACAATTTCATAGTGTTTGAACTGGAATGTTTAGTTTAACGTTGTCTTTTTCATAGTTTATATTCACGTATGCATTTCTTATATTTTAAACAAATATTTGAGGTAATATTTTGTATAGTCGGATTTTCACTCCTTATTTTGGGTGGGGGTTGCAATAGCTCTAATACAGTACCTTAATGTATATATGACATTATGAAGACATAACTTTCATTGTTATGACAAGTGATGTCTTTATGAAGACATACTATGCTGTTATTACGACATATAATGTCGGTATTACGACAAAACATGTCGCAATTACGACGTAACTTGTTTATTTGAATATGGCCCTAACCAGCCTGCAAGTAAATATCATGTCAGGAATGAAACAAACTATGCTGTCAGCTTTTAATTTTGATGGCTATAAAAAAAAATATAATTCGTTCCTTCATTGATAAAATCCCCATAACTAAAACGAGCAATTGTTATCAAATGTCGTGATTCGGTTTTGTTATATGATATAATTAACAAGAAACGATAATACTTTCCTCTTTTCTTAAGATATCAAAAACGAAAAACCGAAAGTATTTCAGTTTTTTATGATTGGTTTTAAGATAATGGTTTTTTCGTTACCTGGTTTTCGTTTTTCATTTCTCACGACCATTTAAGCATGACTGTTCAACATAAGCAAGTTTAACTCCGATCGAAAGATAAAGTAACAATAGGTCTACAAGATACTCGGAGGCATGCCAATTAGCAATTTTGTATAAAATATTGATAGTTGTTTTTCACGACTTACACACAGATTATTTGTCCGAGTCAGTTTTATAATGAAAATAGTGTAGCCAGAGTAAATTGTTTACCCTGTTACAATTCTACCGGCTTCAGTTAACTATTATTTATTTTTATTTATAGCAATTACTTGTGTTTTGGAAACATATTAAACTATTATAATATTCTCGTACATAATTGTATTTAGTCTTACACTGAGCTTCAGTTTTTTTTTTGTGATATATTAATATATTATTTGCAGTGTTTTGTCTAAATACATTTTCTTCAAACCTAAGTTATAGTTAAAAATAATTTTTTACCAATGTCTGTATTCAAAATATCAAATGATGTACATTTCAACATTTAAATTGCATGCTTCTAATGAATGGATAGAATAAATATATCAAGGGTTATGGTATGTGACGATACCTGGATTAACAGTGTCATACACTTAAAGTCATATATTAATACATAACGGATATTTAACAGTAATAGGAAAGGACGTGCCAGTGATTGTTGTGAGGTAAATACAAAATGTTACATATATAAACAAAAACCTAATTCAAACATGTTTAAGATTGTTTTCCTTTGTGTGTGTTGGACACCAATATATGTATGCAAATACACATCAGATTAAAAATGTTCTAACTACAAACTTATATTCAAAGTTCATTTTGTCGGTGCCATTTTAAAAGGTTTTTATATTTATTTTATCTTGAAAAGTATTCAATTAAGAAGTTACAAAGTTGGCATTCACTCTTTACGATAAGGGAGAGGAGAGAGATACAAAAGGGATATTCAAAATCGAAGACAAACTGAAAATGCTATGGCAAAAAAAAAACGAAAAAAAGAAAAGAAAAACAACAATACATAAAACACAACATAGAAAACTAAAGATTGAGCAACAAACCCCACCAAATGTGCCACCTGTTGTGTTGCTCAAACATTTTATTTGAATTATCAAAAGTATTAGTTATTGTATTAATTACTCAAGTCGTTCTGGATCTTAAAAAACGACTGTGAAATAAAACACTTAAGCGTCAACAAAAAAAAAATGCTCAAAACAATATACATACATTGACATAGAATATTAGATTAGTTGCACTATCTTTTGTCTATCCCGGATAAATTCACGTGGGTCTCAATATTTTTACTTTAACTGAAGCTCGAAAAAAAAACAATGTACATTGTATATTTTCAAAACAAATGGATTTAGTTATATTTAGCACAAAAGGTAATATAAGATACGTTTTCTAAATGAGTTTATCACGTTTAAAATCATAATTCATGAATCACAGCCAGTTTTGCTTAAAGTTGACGTCACCATTGCCTAGAAACCAGAATCAAATATGTCCAAGCCAAAGAAGATCAAGAAAGATCCTGATTACATATCAACGGAAGAATTCATGAAAATCATTTCTCCTTTTGTATGCCATGATTTAACACTTAAAGTAGGCAAAATACAGTTTCATGTCAACAAAAAGCAACTCATGGATACATCACCAGTTTTCAACCAAATGTTGAGCGCTGATTTCAAAGAGAAAAATGCGAAAGAAATAATTCTCAAGGGAAAGGATCCGGGTGCATTTAGTCTGTTTTTAAGATACACCTTACCTGGCTTTGAAGAGAATGAATTAAAAGGTATATGAGCATTGACGAGAACACAAATTCGTTATGTTCTATTTAAAATTATGATTAGATATTTAATATAATCTTGATTAATAAAAACATATATGAATAAAAATGTTGAAACAATATATGCATCAGCTCCACAATAAAGATGAGCATTGCAGTGTAAACGATGTTATAAACAAAAATTATAATTCACTTTCACATACAAATTGATGACGCCATTAAACTCATCGAGGATAACGGCTGTAACACAAAGTACTGTTATAAGAACAAATACATGTATAATGATTTTAAACTAGTCAATATTCATCCAATTCTACGATATCTGTATGGAATCATGTGAAAAAAAAAACGTTTATTATGTTTGCACTAGACTAGCATTTAAATATCGTTCAAGTCCTAGAATATTTAACCATTCATCTTTTGCACTGAACATGTTCGACGACTCTTATCAATTGGCTGACCTTCGGCTGCTGCCACTGTTACGATTTGAATCTTAGTTTCAGGCTTTACTTCACTTTATATTTATATTGCACCACATATCACTTGGAACCAGTTACGGGTATGGATAATTAGGTATTACTATGAATACCGTTATCATGGAAGCAAGATTACCGCAAATGAATTATGCCGAATCGACGAAAATGTTAAGTGTGTTAGGTGATTTAAATTTTGCCGTGAGAGTAATTGTGTCAGGGCGGTTTTTCAAATCGTTCCTTCGTCATAGATATATTATAGTTACTGCTTTCTGATTTTGATATATACTGATTATGCGATAACCTTAGTATTAGACATTTTCGAAAAGTCTTCTACACGGACACTTATACCGACACCGATACCTACACTGACTAAAAAATAGAGGGACCGTATCAAAATGTCAAAATATACTGAATGCATTTAATTTAACATTTATAACTATATTAACGGGGTAAATTATTTTAAAAAATAAACGCATATATCTTTAATGTGGTGATCCTGCAAATAGGGTGGATATACCATAGAAGAAGAATAATTTCGTAAAACTTGGTTTGACGCAGCAGAGGTAGAAAAAAATACAAATTCATCATTCGTTAGTTGGTTTTCTATAATTTTTAATTCGGAATCTGAGCTAGAAACACCAAGTGCTCTCATTAGTTTTGGAATTCATTTAGTGGTGATTTGTGATATTCCAACTGTTTTCTTCTAATTGTCGAACTATACTGTTTGGTCTTTTTCAATCAGTAAATTACATTTAATGTAGTTTTTAGGGTTAAATAAACAAAATGGGTATTCATCTTATCAAACCAGAAAATCGGGCACACCTTGTTACGGTCAAGCGTGTTTGATTTGACTGGTTTGTCCTGAAAACGTTTAATGCAAAAATATTTGTTACATCAGTCTCGCTTCAGATCCATTACTTTTATATATTTAGGCTACATTTTGATATCATAACATTACACATTCACAGTACCAAAACAGGAAATATATGGGTCAAGTGAAATCCTTTCTATTATGTCAAAACAACAGAGTAAGTGTGTTTGAATAACATAAGAAAATATTTGTACTATTTCAAATGTTTAAACTTGAAGTGTATTTCTTACTTGTATTTTGTTTAATTTTCGTCCACTCATTTTTTAATGAAAACTTTAGGCATATTAATTATTTTATTCATGAAATGTATAAAAACAAAGTGGGACACAAGTTGTTCACTAACTCCTCCTTGGATTTTTACAAAAAGTCCATGACTTTATAAGTGAATCTTAAAAAAAAACATTTTTGTATGTGTAATCCAGGGTAATTATTCTTCAACCTCTGTAAATGTTTTGTCTGCCCTTCCACATAATACTTGAATACAATTTTTTTAATGTTTTTTTTTTTAACTTTCAAAAATTCCCTCTGACAACCAATCAGACAATAGTTTTTAGTTGAAAAAAGGCCTACAAGTACATTAGATGCTTTAGAGTTAGTAGATACACTAACAGTTGTCGTAACTATGCCATGTGGATAAATTTATCGGTTTTCAAGAGCTAAATTGACAGCGCGGGTCATCCCTACAATGGCTTTCATTTTCACGATTGAAAAATATTAATCGGCGTAATTTAAAGATAATTTTGACGAAGAAGAATCCTGACTTTCTGTGTAAAGTTCTACTAATTTACACAGAGCCTCCCCCTTTTAAAAAAAATATAATATGAAGATCGGTCAATTCTCAGCTTCTGAGCAGAGCCAATAAATAAACAAGTCATTGAAAGTATTTTTTCATACACTATTAAAATGTAAATTATATTAATATTCTATAAATGACTGTGCTTATTGTACACCTTGAGATGACTCCACCTCAAAAAGGTTATCTGTCGTTCTAGGCTTAGGTGTAAGTGTCAGTGTCGATAAGTTTTCGAAAATGTCTATTCAGAGGTTATTTAAATCGCTGGTCTTAAGATAGTTATTCAAATCGCGGGTTAAAGGTGTATATCCTCTTCTTATGAATTATCATTGTCTATGATGTACACTGAATTATATCCGAAAGTAATTGCTGCAATGGTATAGGGTAATGAGTTTTTCGGAATGCATATCCTATTTCATTGTGATACAGCTATCGACCCATCTTTTCACCTAACCGACAATTATATAGTTTGTGTGTCTCACTGTCAAGTTATTTTACATTTAAAGGCATTGACAAACTGACAATTTCGTCAGGGGGTAATTATTAAACTGTATATAATTAATTGCGGCATTTTCCCACATGAACAGTTTCTATATAAAAAACGTGACCTTCAAAAGATCGTAAAGTGTATCGGATGACCTTCATTATTGGTTGACAGTAGTAACTCAGCTTTACAAAGAGAATTATTCATAGATAAATTTAAAACAACATTGTCACACTTAAGACTAAATGCGGATAAATACAGTGGATAATCTTTCAGAATAGGAGAAGCATCAACTGGGCGTCAAGCAGTCCTGCACATAACGGATTCAAAGGCAGCCGACTTTATTCTCAACTGCTATTCAAAGAACATGGTCGATGTTATTTGAAATCAAATTACTATATATGCAATCTGTCGGTAGTTTTAATGCTGCCGTAAATGCTTGAACGGTGTGAATTTAATGTCTTATTGAGATATCTTATTAATAAATATCAAAGTATATTTCTTTTTATTTCTATGCTGCACGTACATGTAGCGCCAATTTCCATTTCATTTTGTTTAATTTTTATGTTTAAACTTCATGATATAGCTGTATATAATAAATGTTTTGTCATATCTTATGTTTTGTTGCATCTTTTATTGAGAGAGGTCAGTGCTCCTTCAATTCTGTATTTATATAAACACGGCACATACACACAGTTATAGTTTAAAATCACTTTCAATTCTGATAGCTTTAAGAATATAAGTGATATGAATGTTACAGAAAGTTTATTAAACTGTACCCAGATTTAAAACAAAGCTTTTAAAGAAATTCTTTCTTTTTAACCATGTTTAAAGCATTGCAATGTTTATGAAAGTTTAGTAATTGTGATTAGACCCCTCAATTACTCGCCTTTCAGATATGTATATTGGTCAAATTGTGTAAATTGGTTCACGTCTCCTAAAACAAAATCTTCATTAACACGTTCACATTTGTTATTATTACGACTACGATATTTTGACTGAGTGTGGATTCACGTGGTAGAAAAAGTCAAATAACAAAAATATTTCAAATCGGAAAGTTCCTTATCAAATGGCAAAATCAAAAGCTCAAACACATCTAACGAATGGAAAATAACTGTCATATTCCTGACTTGAATATGTGGGTGAGGAATACATAGCAGTAGACGTTTATCCCTTCGACGAACCGGTCTGATTCATTTTTGGAAGTAACTAGATTCCTCCAATTTGTTGTTGTTTTCATACCTTGATATGTTGATTTTCATTGAACTAATGAGATTCAAGCATCAATAAACTACTGCGACCTCATTTTATTTATTATATTCAATAACTTTCTACCAATATGTTTTTCCCCTAAACTATTTACATGTTTATCTTTTTTGATTTGTTTCAGAAACGGACGCTCATCTTATTTTACCAATAGCACATGAATATCAAACCGAAAAATCTTTAACAAGAATTGATGCATCATTGACAGAATATTCCACAGAAATGGCAGATACCTTGACTTCAGAACAAGTAATAGATAGTATTATAGAGGCGGAGTTTTTTGGATTGTCGGAATACTTGGAGACATGCATTAAAATTGCATCTCACAAAACTTTCAATGCACTAGCAAAAATAAAAATTTTAATAAAATATCAAAAGATACTAGATACACTATTTCTATGGAGAGATGGGAAGAGTTGGATGACACTTATAGAGAAAATCAATACGAAGTAGGCAGGTCATTCATGTTTCAAAATTGAATATCCTAGCCATTAACTGAATGTTGAAAGAGATAATAGTATTAATAATGATTATATTACTAATTCTTTACAAATATTGATTAATATATAGATCTAGAGTGACTTTTAGATTATAAAGTTTTTTTATTTTATGTCTTTTTTTTTATTAAGTTCGTAAAGTGCAAAAGGGTCCTTTTTTGGACCAGGAAACTAGAGTTTTTGAAAACTATTTCAAATTTGCTAAAAATCTTTGTTAAACATAAGATCGAGAAACAGAAATGAATAAGATATATATTTTTTTTATGTTATGACGTCAAAACTACATCATAATAAGCGCCTTTTAATAAGAACTTAGAAAATTGTTGATTTGATGTACTTTATTCTTTTTGTGGGATAAAAAAATATGTTATTGAAGCTTTATTAAACATGTTAACGTTTTTTACTTGATGTTATCGAAATGTGTTCTTTGGATGCACGTACCCTTTTCAAATACAAATAAAAGGCAACAGTAGTATACCGCAGTTCAAAAGTCATAAATCGATTGATAGAAAACAAATCAGGTTTACAAAACTAAAACTGAAGGAAACACATCAAATATAAGAGGAAAACAACGGAACAACAGAAACACTGAAGTGCAACAAAAACAAACGCCGATGCAACATACATAGAAACGAACTATTTGATAACAACTGCCATATTCCTGACTTGGTACATGAAATTTTAAGAAAAAATGGTGGGTTGAACCTGGTTTTATGGCTAGCCAAACCTTGCGCTTATATGGCGATGCTTAAAAATATGACTAAAATGACATCACTACGTGACAGAAATACAGCACAAACAAACGTAAGAACACCCAGCACAGAGAAACGCACAAACAAACAACACAAAAGAATAGTCGCTTCAACATGTAAACCGCAGAATAACAACGAACATCTTCCATTAACGACAGCGCAGGACATCACAAACAGTGACTTATTTTTGTAACGAATATATAATCTTCAAATCTATACAACTATTTTAATAATACTAGTCCAAACAATTATCATGATTATGACGGTATTGAAAGGCTATTCTAAATAAATGCTGTGACGACGTTATAATTTTTTAGACTAACACAATACTTTATCCATGGAAAATGGAAATTAACTCGACTATACAGACAAATAAGACATATGTGAGATGCACCGAAAATATAAAATTCAAACCATGAATGTGCATGACTTGTTTTTCTAAGTGAAAAAATAACGATAGTACAATGTACCTTCTGTCGCATGTATTTTTCTACTTTAATTTTTTCGTAATCTAAAACAATCCATTACTTTTAATCAGATGTCTTAAAGCTTAAATTGAATAATCATGATAATACACTTTTAAATAAGATTTTCGTAGATAGCACAAACAACAGCACAAACAACTTAAATAGATATCATAAATTAAAAAAACATACAATTGGTCTTATCGATTTTTTATTGTTTTTCTTTTATATCAAGTGAAAAGTTCCCTCTTCAACAGCATTTTAATTGTATAACAGTTATAGGTCATTGTTTTTTCCAACTATCAGTAATGACCCTATTATGAAATGTAGAAGAGGATTTCATTGTTTTGTTTTATCAGAATATATAATTTAAAGGCAATGAACAATATAAATTATCATTTCTTAGACGTAATGATGTGCTTGACGAACCCGAATATCTGGTACCCGTATCCGAATATGAGGAAATTGATGATAATCAAATGAGCGATATAAATACTGGAAACTTAGTTCAGGCAAGCACAAGTGAACAGGAAACAGCAGAAGTCCTCCTTGAAGATCCAGGCGGAATCAGTTCCGAAACACCTGTCTATCAAGATATAGATGAATCACAATTTGAGATTCACATATACAAAGAGTTCGAACAGTAATACATGCATAGTGTTTTGATGAACTTTCGCTATATCTATTTTACATGCACAGAAGGCGTGAACCATGACATGGTTAATTGGTGTATAAGAACCAACATTATTAATGAAACTTGTGAATGAATTGAATGGTTCAAGTTTCTACAATGAACACCAATCAACCGTTTGGTCCTTTCGCAATTAATGTCAATAAATCATATCCCGGTTCGCATGTCATGTACAGAGATTCTTTGAAAGTTTAATTAAACTCCAATTAAATTTATAATTTTGAATACATATGCAATGTTAAATTATAGAAACTATATAGGACAAGCTGTTAAATCTATGTCATTTTTTCATACCCATTGAGTTAGATCTGTATCGCCAGGTTGTACGATGGAGCAAGTCTGTTTTTCTAGAAACACATTTAGACGTACAAAATAAAAAAAAATCATCGATGTTACAGCATAGTTAGTATTTACGATCCTTTACGACTTACAAAAACAGCTGCTTTACACGGTGGTATATCTGCACGCAATCAACCACAAAAATAGAATACATTAAAATCAATAGCATGTTCTCGTAGCATGGGCCAAACATTAGAGAGGTTAATTAAGAAGGATTATCTTTCATATAGCCAAAATTTCAAAGAGCAAAACAGCAAGGTTTAAACAATTTGCACTACCTTTCAAATTTAATGTACAAAAGTATATATGATCCCGTTTTCCTGTTCGTTTTTCATTTTTTCTCTCTCTCTTTTGTTTTATAGAAGCTGGTTTTTTTTCGCTTGTTTTTGCTTTTGTCTTAATGATTAGCATACAGAGTTAAAACACATAACAGTTACTGTAATTCGTTCTATAACGTGAATAAATGCTTATAGTAGGCTTATAACTTTTACTTATTTTAATGGGTTACTTTTTCTAAATGTTGTATGGTCTTTTTGCTATCAAAATGTACTCTCAGAATGTATAATGAAATCTTGAATCAAGAATTTTGAACAATGCGATAATTCTAAGCCAGAGATGGCCATGCTTTTCGGAACGAGTGTTTTCTAGATATAAATGTATATAAATTGTGTATTCTGTTTGACTAGTACTACATATTTTGTAAATATCTGTAAACATGGCCATCAGAAAAATTGTTAAACTATTACTTATTACTTGAAATATAATTTCTATAATTTTATTTAGTAACCCAAAATATCCATTATCCATCAAAAATGATGGATGTAAAATCTGTCAATGAATTAGCGTCTTAAAAGTTTTTAAATTATCTTGCATAATTATATAACAAATACTGTGCATTGAGATAATTGTATTAACTATCGGAAATTCCATCTTAAGTGGAGATAGTAAAATATACAAGCCCGTAGTGATTCGTAGTTGATTCATGCGAATGGCAAAATCTTAAAATATGTAATTTAGATTTTCTGGCATATAATTAGTATGCAAATGTATTTTGTCGTCAAGAATCTAGGTATCTCTTCCTGTTCAACCATATTTAATAAACATCCTGTGTTTGTAAACAGATATCGTTTAAAAGTTAAAATCTGAAGCTGCATTATTAATTACCAATTAAAATAACAGTAATAGACGTCAACTTAAACTATTTCACGCAGAACAGAACAATCCTTACACACAGTAGTGATGAATAGCAAACTTTAAATGAAGCAATACAGAGTATTTGTAATAAAATAGTAAAGAATCTTTTCCACTGGTTCCATCACCAACTTTTTCGCCTCATCTTAGAAAAGATATATATAAGGCAAAATAGTTCTACACGAAGCGTTTTTCAATATAAAAAAATAGAGAGGCGAAAGATGACAAAGGGACCTTCAAACTCATAAGTCGAAAATAAACTGATAACGCCATGGCTAAAAAAGAAAAAGACCAACAGACAAATAATAGTACACAAAACACAGCATAGAAAACTAAGGACTGATCAACTCGAACCTACCAAAAACTGGGGGTAATCTCAGGTTCTCCGGAAGGGTAAGCAGATCCTGCTCAACATGTGGCACCCGTCGTTTGCTCATGTTAGTACAAACCCAGTAATGAGTCTAATTCGGTAGGTCACATTCGGGGAAAAGGGGATGGGATTGTAGTTACGACATTTGGAACATATCCGCTATCATCTGTGAAACGGATATTCCATAACGGTCAACCAGCTCGTTGTATTCATAGACCCATTCAGTTTTTTAATTCTGATTTGTATCAACGAACTCACAGCCTTAATCCATTCGGAGAGAGTATCTACGTCTTCTTTCTCGCGTCTAACCTATTGCCTGGCATAATCCTCGACTGACCCATCAGTATTTTAAAGTTGTACGATGTTTCGGGCTTTTGATTAACACATTTCGCGTGTTCGAGAAGTGTTATTGACAATTTTCAGGTCACCAGTAATAACCTAGCAAGCCGGATAATATATGAATAGGGAACTAGCACAGGTGCAATCAGGAGGTTTAGACTTGAAGTCGTCATTATTGAGATCCTGCAACACGTGATATGATGAATTATTTGGGGTTTCTTTCTAGGAATTCAGTAACGTTATATTTATTCTTGAAAATTAGTTCGTTTTGTAAATTGCAGAAATTTGTAACTCATACTAGTATTAAGGATATTACTATACATTTTGTATCTATTTGTATTAAGTTCAGACTATTTTGTTTAAATGTATTTTCCTATTTCAAATCAACTGCAGCTGAATATATCTAATAATTAGCTGTTATTTAGCATCGTTTAATAAACATTGCTGCAACGCTTTTCCAACGTAACTTCTCAGTTAGACCATTCCATAAGAAAGCTTAAATGACAACCTAAATTGATCTAATAAGTAACATTTATATTCATATTCAAACATTCTCACAATGTTAACCATGCGGCCTTTGTCGGGGAAAAGGGCGTACTCCTTGGACGGAAAAAAGTAGGAGAAATTCATATACCCGGCATACATTTGGTAGGTTTAAGTAAGAGATACAATGGATAACATTTCATGATCAGTTGTGTTTTATTAACGTCCAATGGCAAGCATTTCATGATAATTCAAAACGAGAACTTAAAAAATTGAGATTTGATCTGTCACTGAGAATTCAAATAAGGGCATGTTGGATCCCAGCAAACACACAACATTTATAAAACATTTTTTAAATGTCATATGGACGTCTCTCACAAAATATTTCAATAAGATATCATTTAAACATAAAAAAAATGTTTATTTTATTGTTTTTGAAATGTTTTATTTCTAACATTTAAGTAAAATGTTTTTACAACATTAACAAAATATTATTTGCTAATATCTTTTATTCATGTTCTCAAACATTGTTCTAAAATATCCCGTAGATATTTTATAATATAAAAAAAATAATATTTTCTTCAATTGGTATTTCATATTTTAACAACATTTAGAGTAAATATTTTCCAAATATCCAAAAAACATTCTGCAAAAAAATGTTTTACAGAAAATATAGTTTTGCTATTTGCATAAAATGTTTTATAACGTAAAATTAAAATGTTTTACATAAAACATCTGAAAAATATCAGCTAAATGTTTTCTATAAAATATTCTGACATACACATTACTTAATAGTCTTACTGATATTTTATTCAACAGTTTACGGATATAAAAATAACATTTTATTTAAACTTTATTCAAAACCCCACAAACAACGTTTTGTGGAATTAGCTCGTTTTTTTTCAGGATAATATAGTACTACATTTCATCAATATCATGACAAGCAAGATACTATGGTTGAAATCCTTAATTGATATCTTGAAGATCCTTGAAGTCAGATTTTATTCCTTCTAATATTAAAATTCAAAAGAGTCAACATTAAATTAAGCAATAATGTATTAATAAACACTCACCGTTCTTTAATGTTTATTCATTTCGTTCGTGTATATTTTAGAAATTAAGAAATGAAAACTGTAACTGTACCAGAGACATATATACACATATATATGTCTCTGACTGTACTAAGTTCAATTTTCGTATCGTTTATATGCCTTACGGAAAACCGACCTTTTCCGGAATCGACTTTTGTTTTATCACCGGAAATGATTTTGAAATTTGAATTTCGAAACGAAGACAGGATATCAACAAAGAGAGCCAAGAAAATTGTTTGTTACGCGATATATACTCACTTGGTAAGAATGATTAATCTGTTAAGATGAATTTGTGCATTCATTGTGTGTGTTCAATCATAATCGGAATAAAATTACATCTGTTTCTGGAGGTGCGGATCAAGGTTTTGAAAAAAAGGGGGCCCCTGCCCAAGTCAAGCAAACGTTTGGAGTGATACTTGTAAATAGTCTATACATTTATCTTATAAGTAGCTCCATAAGGGGGTCGGGGCCCCTAAATCCGCCACTGTTCAAGCATCTACGTACACCAATTATGAATTTGTTCATTGATATAAAAAAATTATAAGGATATGTGGCTTGTGTGTTTGATTGCCAATACACCTTATCGCTATTTGTCCGCCATTACTGGCCATGGACATCACAAAAGTTCCCGTAAAATGTTGACGTCATATTAGAAAATATTTGACACCACAATTGAAAGTAATACACCTTATCGCTATTCAGTCAAGGATATAACTCTATAGGGTTATTAGTATTACTATTAGAGAAAAATAACATACATTTGTTATTGTGGACTAAAAAATCAAAGAACTGTGATAACATATGTATGTTACATGTTTCAAAGGGACAATATACATCATTAGTTTTGTTAAAATGTATACAAGTTCTATTGATATTACTTTTGTCTTTATGTATACTTAACTATAGAAAGATATAACAGTTCATAGTTTGCCAATCATGCATAGTACACCTATGTTATTACAGAAAAAAATTGCCTATAATAACTAAAGGGTGTTATTACAGCTTCTCTACATCACTCCTAAGCATTTGCTCAGACATTCAACATGCTTAATTACAATGAATTTTAATTTATTGTAAGAAATAATGATCAGAGCATGTAATGAGGTTCTGCGCAAGCTTCCCAGTAATTCCCAAGTGTCTCATATAACAAGTTACATGCCTTTAATAACTAAGCCTTGTTATAACAGGTAAGTTTTTCCCTTAAAAGCCTCGTCTCATTGATTTACCATGGTTAATGAAAAATGTTTTAATTTAATTTAAAAATTAGTTATCAAGGCTATGCATTTAGTTTCTGTGCAAAGTTTCCAGAGTTCCCTAGAGCCAACTAAAAATCAAATTATGTATGATTTATTTTACAAATAACAAACATGTTATTACAGATTTAGAAAGTTTAAGGATTAAAGAGTAGACAACTCATGAAAGTATCTGTAATAACACATGCAAGTTATTTTCTGTAATAACCCTATAGAGTTATATCCCTGACTGCTATTTGTCCGCCATTACTGGACATCACACAACTGTCACAAGTTCCCTTAAAAAATATCTGATGCCACAATGGAAAAGTGATTGTTGTTTGACGTCAAAAGTTCAAGCAGGATAGATTCTCGGGTCATGCGGGAATAGCGATAAGGTGTATTATTGTATGACGTATGCTGACATAAAAAGTTCAAGCGGGACAGATTTCCAAATACTGAAATAGTGATAAGGTGTATGAGACAGCTATCCACCAGAATTTAAATGACTTGGATAATAGAAATTATAGGTCACTGTACGGCTTTCAAAACTGAGAAAACCAATGCCATATAGTCAACTTTGAAGCCTTGACAAACAAATGTTAAATTTTTCTCAACACAATTGAAACAAAACAACTAACTGCCTACATTAAATACATACATGTATTATGAAAAAGAAATTTGACAGACTTAAACCAACAACAACTATTGCAATAAGCATGACTCAATACCTTGTTTCCGAGGCACACAAACAAGTTACAATAACACTAATATAAGCACCATTTGAATATGGAGATTTTTTTTTCTAGTAAAATCAGTGTATGTATGTATTTGCAAAACAGTAAATTAAATTTCCCTTAACAGCTTAATGAACATTACAAAGACTATGTAAGACTTCAGCACAAGCAAGATAATATAAACTGTTGCTTAAAATTATATTTATTGCTTCATACACACAATGTACATACAATGTATCTTTTATTTTTTAACAGGAGCTAAAAGAAAAGCCACAAAGGACAAGTTCAATATGCAGGTTTACAATTTGGAAGTGGCGCAGGTTCTTTGAAATGTCTACAACCTTTCTGGAGAATTTTTTTTTGAAGTAAGATTTTCATACAGAATTACTGTTATTCCATATTTAATTCAAATATTTAGCATTAACAATGCATTACACATGTTACATTCAAGATTAAGGGCATACAATACAGAAAAGATATCTGGATATTTGAATAAATTATTTTTTTTGTGACAAAATAGAAACAAGTTGTTTATTTAAATCAATCTTTTAGTCCAACAGTGTGCTTTCATAAACATATTTGCTTTCCTTTGAAGTATTTCAAATACATATAAACAACTCATTTAATGACATCTGTGTGTTTCTCGGAAGTTAAGTTATATTATTATCATCATTGCGAAAACAATGCGTAACACTTCGATAAGTTATTATGTGCCTATAGTATACTTCTAGGACTGTATCATATGCCCTTAGATACAAATGACAAGTTATAAACTATGTCACTCTACAGAGTTTAACACTTAAAAAGGACAATAAGATGTTTAATGACATTATGTAGCAGGGCTTTTAAAGGCCCTTACATGATACAATGCATTTAATGAAAACTAAAAAAAAACAAGGAAAACAACAGCCTGATTTATACAAAACAATAAAAGAAAAAAAATATGATAGACAACAATCAACGAGTATAATGAAATAAGTCTCTGGACTGGACACATATCTAGTCTAAAGTTTTTTATGTGTTTTTTTTAATAACTAAATGAAGTTCAGCATGGCATATTGCTCTCTCTTAACACGGTCAGCCATTTATCGTCCCCTTCCGACAGACAATCATCGTTATTTGTTTCAAAACTTTAAAGGGGAGGGGATGTATATCCTTCAGGCAACGTGAATCGTTCTATAATAAAGGAATGTGCAAGAAGTTCATATATGAATGTAAGATTAATTTTTTTTTTCAGAAGCATGGCACAGCAAGAAAAAGATATAAGACACTACAAGACATTCCAAGTGATTTTGAATAAGACAATTGATTGACTTTTTCAATGTATTCTTAAATAAATCAAATAGTTGATGTAAAATGGTGTTTTGTTCTCATCTGTTCAGCCAATTATCAATGATTATTGACTTAAGATGTAACCCTATTAGAAGTGTAGCGTTTTAGTTAAGAAAGAGAAGTTGTATTGAAAGATCTGAATTTGGGACACAAGTTTTAGTCAATGTAACTTGAACTTAAAAATGTGTATAATGTTTGCATAATGTCCAATGGCATATATGTCATGCATGTTCAGGTTGACATATGCATGATGTGTATAAGATAGGTAATAAAAGTTAAGAGTGAAAAAAAACAAACATTATACCATTGTGGTTGGAATGTGGGCTTTCTTGCACTGTCTGTCGTCTGTCCACCTATATTTGTCGGATTTTGTCCAACAAATATTTTCATCAAGTGCTGTTTTTCCCAAAACTGCTGATAAAGATGAGTTCATATTTAATGAGCTGCTTGATAGTGATGTGTGAACATTTTTGTATCTGGCACCTGTTTCCTGTTTGCTTATACTTTGTATTTCAAAATGTTGAATGTTCTCAAATTTTTCATTACTTTAATTAGTAATGCTGATGAACAGAATGACTTCATATTTGGTAAGTGGCTTGACCATGATGAGTTGTGTCTGCCATTTTGGATGTGTCAAAATTTGTATATACTTCTTGTTTTTAGAGACTTTGAATTGTGAATTTCATATGCTTAGCAAAACAACTGATTTATTCTTGTTTGTATATAGAATTAATCACTGTGTATAAACTAATTTAACTAATGATTTGTTATTTAAAAAAGCAGGAAACTCAATCAAAAGTACAGACATTTTTATATTGATATGATCTAGATATCAACCAAAAACATCTTCTTAAAACATTTTGAAAACATTTTTTAGGCACAGTCTTACTTGCAAGAAAACATCCAAAAAACATTTTTATAACATTATTTGATGTTCATGATATTTTTCAAACGTTCAGAAAATATTTCTAGAAAATATTTTTTAAAAGATTATCAAAATGTTTTATACGCCATTGTTTTTCACATTATCATGATATTTCTTTACAACATTTTAATTATATTATGCAAATATTTAAGAAAATATATTAGAAAACGTTTTAGCGATATATATTCTACCATACATTTAATGTTTTTCTCACGTTTATTTGTGATATTTTCATGTCATTAGACACAACATTTTAAAAACATTTTAAAGATGTTTTTGTGTTTGCTGGGATAGTAACATAAATTCCCCTGTGACAAACAATCCCATTGGAGCTGTTGCAATGTAGATCAGCAGTAGGTGTAGTTTTGTACTTAATTTTCATGAGTAACCAGGTTATGAATTCGAACTTCCACCAGTCATGACTGCATATATTTATACATCCTAGCACTGTTAAACATCTGGCACTGCCTGAGAGAAAGCCACACTTCTTGGACGAAATGACCAATGTCTATCACCTGGATACATTTTAGAGGTTAAGTATGAGACACAATGGATAAGCGTGTATCAATTTGTGTGCACATGACATGTGCTTCTGAAATTACCTTTATTCAAATAACGGATACTACATGTATGATAAAGTCAGAATAAATCACGATAGCGTGTAGTGCTCAAATGAATATAGTGCTAAAAATGAGGTCATATATGGTAGTAGTCACTTCATACTTAGATTATCGGTAAAACAAAAGTTAAGACATGATTATCATTGAAATTTCACGTGACAGATAATGAGGAAATAAAATAAGGTGTCACTTTTGATTTGTAGCAGAAATTCTGTAAGAACAAAATATAGTTACACCTTACAAAACAAAAAAACCAAATGAACATGCAGGTCTAAACAGAACAGTAAATAACCGCCTAAGAAAAACGTAGCCTGCGATAGTTGAAACCTTGATTAAGTTTTAAAAATAACATAAATTACATGTAGCTTTGACATATATTTATTCATAACAAATAACAAAGTCTTAAATAAGATTATAAATAAAAAGAATTCAGAAAACAAGCTATACACAGCTTATGAACATTTTATTTCCTCCTAAAATACAAACAGTTCTAGATTTAACAACTAAGTTGACAAGCGCAATTACAGGTTTTAAGAACTGTAAATAACAAAAAACATCACGTATCTTTTAAACCACACTAGGAAATGTACAATACCTAGAATAACAAAATATATGCTCCGAATATTATTTGCTACATTTGCAACCGCAAATGTACGGTACACGTTTTTGTTGTAATATAAAAACTTTAAAATATGGGATGATACATCTGGATATGTACTATATAGTAATTATGATATTCCTCTTTTCATTTATTTCACAGGCTTGAATAAAATCATACGACAACTTTAGAATTAATGAATGTGCATGCCTATAACAACGGAAAATGAAAATAATTATTCACATGTTAACATAATGTATATAGGAAAGAATAACACAATACATTAATAAATTATATAATAAAATTCCAATTCCACACCAGCTTAATAATTTCATAATAACAATTAAGATTTCCAATTTTTTACTATAACACTCATTGTTTCGTTTTGTAAACAGAGTCATGTTCTTATTCCAATAGAATTTAAGGACACATGTTAGAGATCAAAAGGACATTTGTGTCTGTTGTTTGCTAGAAAATTACATAAAATCATTTTAAATGTAAGTTACATGTTTCAATTCTATCTTTTGTTTATTTAAAAAATATTTGTGCTACATCAAATAAAAATAGCTGCCTTATGAACATGTCTTATAGACCTTGGGCCTGTTTATCGAAGCTGTCCTAGGATTTGTCCTAAGACCTCTCTTAGGAATAAATTAGGATAATGTTAGGACCGACTTACGACATGTCTCAGCATGCACACCGAAGCTATCTTAGGACTATCTTAGCTAGGATGTTCTTACTTCTATCCTAAGTGTTAGCGTAAAGAAAAATGGGAATTTAAAAAAAAATAAATATTTAAGAATACATTGAATTTCACCAGTAGTAAATAATTACAAGATTAATAAACTGCTTCGCTGAGCGCAGCTGGATACGCCCGCAGAGGTCCAACCCTGAACAGTTGGGGCAAAAATGGACACAATATTCAAGCTTGATACAGGTCTGAATTTGGATTGTAATTAAATATTTGACATATTATAGGTTTCTGAATAAATGTAGTCAAAGAACTTGAAATTGGTTATATGAATTGAATTTATATTCAATTGAAGATTTCTTGTTGTTGTGCAATACACTGTGCTGTTGCGCAATACTTAGTAAATCTGTTGTCAGACTATAAACAAATAAAGTTCAATTTCTTCTCAATGTAATACTTGAAATTTATGAAAATCAATAGCTATAAATAATAAGTTTCATGAGAACTGCTGAAAGCATTTTTGAGTTATTGTCCAAAAACTGGAAAATCCCCCCTTTTTTAATGAATAAAACCCCATAACTCAGAAATGTATAATTTACAATTTATAAAATTCTTAAGGGAGCTTACATCAACAGATATAAACAATTCACCAAAGTTTCATGAGAACTGCTGAAAGAATTTTTTAGTTATTGTCCGAAAACTGGAAAATCACTCTTTTTTTATGAATAAAACCCTTTAATTTTGAAACGTAAAATCTAAAATTTATAATAATCGAAAGGCAGCTCATGTCAATAGATATAAACAATTCACCAAAATTTCTTGCATGTTGGTGAAAGCATTCTTGAGTTATTGTCGGAAAACTGGAAAATCCCCCCTTTTTTAATGAATAAAACCCCAAAACTCAGAAACGGTAAATCTGAAATTTATAAAAAACGAAAGGGAGCTTCGAAAAACAGGCCCTCGCTTTGACATTTCAAACGTTCAGAATTATTATTATATTTGTCAACATTAATTTTCATAACTCGCTTAATCGTTGTATAAATATATTGACACATATAATGCCTACCCATATCAAAAAAAGGATAGAGCAATGCATGAAAGATCTCATCAAAACAAAAGTCTATGTAAAATACAAGTATACTTTCGAATACCAAGCCATTTATATAATCGCATACATCTTTATTTGTCTTCTCATATCACTAAATGATACTCAAAAGTGACACACACATCTTCTTTGATTTAGAGGAAATATAAATAAAATATGATTCTCCTAAATCGATCATTTAAAAAATGCAGACATTATAGCGTAATATCACATTTTTTTTTATATCGTAGACATAACTTTGTACCGAAATATTGTAAATAGATCTAAAAGCGTTATAAAAAGTTTAACTGCAAAACGCATTTTCTTAGTTTCAACTTTGATTACCACTCGCATCTTTGGCAAACTGGTGACATCCATCTGTGCTTTGATCTGAAAGAAATAAAATAAATAGCATTAAGCGACATAGCAATGATATTAATGTATTATGTCCTATCCTTGAAAAAATGACACATCATCTCTATTTTAAAGTATAGTCATATATACATTTTCTTTCTGGAGTTTGTTACATGTAAATGACCTTCATTGGTAGGGCTACAGTCTATTTTAATTGTTAAGATATATGCACTTTGACGTTTGTATGACATCAGATTCAGTTTTATTTGATAGAGGAGGGTCCGGATGAGGTTTACAGATTATCAAAGAATAAATAAAAATGTGCCCAAAAATAAATAAAATAGAATTAGTTTGTGCTATGACCTAAGGAAACGAGAATAATGGGGCACAATAATAACGAATATACAAATGAAGATCACACCCTTCAATCCAGACTATCATGAGGGTGTGGATGGGGGTTTACAGAATAGAGAATAGGCAAAAAATATAAAGAATAGAGAAAAATGGACAAAAAGTAAAAAGAATGGAGAAAAATGGTCTAAAAAATTAAAGAATACAGAAATGAAGGACCCCCTATCTAGACCCTCCTTCATTGTAGTTTCAACTCAACTCATGAACACTCTCTGTCAATGTTTTTACAATTTTATCTTTTATTTTGAGATCGAACTTTCAACAGTCAAATTCTTTACTATTTAAAAATGTATATATATATACAATATGATATGGCTTCCTTACTGCAGATATTCATTGACCTTCGAAATAATTTTTGAGTTAAGTATTTTTAAATCTTGTTGTTTTTATAATTCAACTTTTTTATGAAAAATGCATGTATCAAAAATAAAAAAAGAAGGCAACTACTCGAAATGGTCATTATAAATTAATATTATTGTATGTGAAGAAACTGTTATCATTTCTAATTATGGCGATTGAGATAACGACAAAAGGAGTAGGTTCGACTAGGCTCCAATATGACCTCCAATTCATTTTTAAATTTTCAAATCAGAATTGTTCTGGAACTCATTCATCATTTGTTCTTCATGTGATCATCATTTTATATTGTTTATGTTTCATTGCGTACATCACTTTATATGCTCCAGTTTTAGGAGTTTTATACAGGACAGTGTAGGAACCCATGTTACTTTCCCCTCTCTTCTGAGTGACGAAAACTGCTCAGCAGGCCGTGTGCACAACTACAAGGAACATTCAGCGGACACGTTGTCCAAAGGAACAATTCGTGGCTAACCACAGCGTGAGTTACCTTTAAAACATTACAAATTATGTCTTTACATCAGCGATGAACTGTTTTAATATGTTTTCCTATGTTATAAAGAAACTATGAACATTTAACCGTTCAAACTGTTCGTATCTGCGATTACACAATTTAGTTCAGACAGAACCCGACGTGTGCAAGAATATTCATCTATTTATTATTATAAAGAACATTAACAGCTTTATAAATCTACGAACTGTTTATCCGTATTTTTAATGGACTTTAATTATCATTGAACACATTGTAAAATTGTATTTATATTTGTATTTTCAGTTTTTCACCATTTGGATTGGTAGTGAAGTAAAAGTCAGCTCCTGATTGTTTTATCTTTACATAAACCCAGCCATCTTGGTTAAACTCGCTGGTCCGGCCAGTACAGTGAAAAAGCTACAACTTGCCTGTTGTTTTTCCAGGATAACGTACGCCACTCCACGACAGTCAGCAGACCCATAACGTAGTTTCAACGACAACGTTTCATGCTAGTAAATTGACAACAACTTGTCTACACATCTCCTGAACAGGAAATACAACGGAGCATCGTTCGTAGCTGTTACCTTGACACTACGCAACACAGCTTGTGTGTCCTAGGCAGCAAACCAACAACGTTGAACAAACATTGCCTACAGTTAGTTGATTTACATCATGGATCCCAGCCACGCGGAACAGCAAGACGAGATTCAAAATCCAGAGGGAGACGTCTCTAAAGAACAAATAGAGAATCCGTTTACTACAACACCTTTAGATGAAGATGCCGAGACTAGGCGAGTACGTGAACTCACAGAAAAGGGACAAGGAGCTTTTACAGAAAACCGTGACAAGTTCTATCATGACTTAGAGGCCCTATGGTCAGACCTAGAATCTCAGTTATTGGAAACGACCACGCCTCCTAACGACCTCCAACAATTGCTGACAGCACAAGATAGAATTGTACAAGCCTGTACTAATTATCGGAGGCTCACAGACGAGTACTTGAAATTTCTTAAAAATACAAGAACGTTAGACAGCTTTCAAGACATTGATACGTGTAAACTTTCAACAGATATCCGAATGTCTAAAGTTGACCTAGCAATTGAAACCTTACATGAGCATCGCCTCACCCTGACAAAGGCTAAATCTACAAAAACCAAGACATCTAAGGGCAAGAAAACCTCGCACAGTGGGAGCTCCAACGTCTCTAACATGTCAAGTCTTGCACAGAGGAAGCGTGCCAAAGCAGAGGCTGCTAGATCTCAGATAGCCTTTGCTGAAAAGCAGGCCTTGCTACTAAAGCAGGAGGCAATGATAGAAGAACAGGCTCTTTTCAAGCAAAATGAAATAAAGGCTGAAGCGGAACAAGAAGCCATCAGAGCGGAGCAAGAAGCCATCCGAGCAGAACAGGACGCCGCTCAAAGAAAAGCTCAATTAGAACAAGAAGCCGCTCAAAGAAAAGCTCAATTAGAACAAGAAGCCGCTCAAAGAAAAGCTCAATTAGAACAAGAAGCCGCAAGTAGAAAAGCCGAGGCTGCACACCTGCAAGCTGAAATGAAACGTGAGGCCGTACGCAGGAAAACTATAATGGAACAAGAGGCTGCACGTGCAATACGAGAAAAAGCCGAAATTAAGGCTGCTATGAACATTCTAGAAGCACAAAGAGAAGCTGCAGCCGCAGAAGCCGAGGCTCGTATCCTTGAACACGACGGCAGCCAAGCATTTAGCGATCTCCCTGGCGAAACGGAAGACCCTCTTCGGCGTGTGCAAGATTTCGTCAATAAACATCCTGTACCAACTGCTGTACAGGAAGTAACAGGACCTCAAAAGTTAAAACAAATTCCTGTTAAGATTGAGCTGAGTCATGAAGCACCAGCGTTCGTGCCATCCGTGGCACTGAACTTGCCGTCACAGACATCTGCTGTCTTGCCTTCCGATACTAAGTCAGCGGAAGTTACCTTAATCCCAGATCTGGAAATAGTAACCGGCATACAAAAACTAGGCCTTTCAGAGGAGATCCCTGCTGAACACCAGAAACAGGGTGTTAAAGAAGAGATCCCCGCTACACACCTGCAACCAATCAATCCTACGTCGGAGATAACCAGATTTCTCCTACGCAAGGACCTGTTGTTCTCCCGGCTAACAAGCTTTAACGACCGGGCAGAATCCTTCCATACATGGAAAGCCAGCTTTAAAAACGTCATAGACGAATTACAAGTTTCGGACTCGGAACAGATAGACCTACTTATTAAATGGCTTGGACCAGAGTCTGCCAAACATGCCATGAGTATAAGGGCATCAAATGCCAACAACCCAACAAGAGGCCTACGGAGACTATGGGAGAGACTTGACGACCGATATGGAGCTCCAGAAATGTTGGAGGCGTCTCTCGTTAACAAACTTGTCAACTTCCCAACACTGACGAATAAGGACAACTCACTCCTTTACGATTTGTCAGATATTATCTCAGAAATAGAATATCACAAGGAAAATCCCAAGCTGGGATGTTTGCTTGCGTATTTCGACTCTTCATCCGGGATAAATCCTATAGTGGAAAAACTGCCATACGGACTCCAAGAAAAGTGGATAACAAGGGCTTCAAGATACAAGTCTAAATATGAAGTTGCATTTCCACCTTTCACAGAATTCTCTGCCTTCATCAGGGAAATTAGCAAAATAAAGAACGATCCTGGGTTCATTTTTGGGTCAAGAGTCACACCAAGTACAAAAGGTGCTGCGCCAAAGTTCACACCTCAAACATATTCTAAAGTCAATGTTCATAAGACAGCAGTTGAACAGCAACCTGGAGACATCAGTGAACAACAAAGTCTTTGCATTTTGCATAATGCAAAGCATACCTTAAACGAATGCCGAGCGTTCCGTGCCAAATCAATCGAGGAACGCAAGGAACTGTTGAGGCAAAACAATCTGTGTTACAAATGCTGTGATTCGACTATGCACAGAAGTCGTGATTGCAAGGCAAGTATCAGTTGCAATGAATGCGGAAGTAAACAACACACCACCGCATTACACACAAATCGAGTGTACCAACCCAAAGGTGCACCGCCTTCACCGCCTAGATCAGTCGACGGCGGGGAGCTAATTGATACAGCCTACGGCGGGGAGCAACTTGAGTTAGCTGAAACCAAGCTAACCTCTGTTAGTTCAACTTGCACAGATATCTGTAAAGATGGCAACAGTAGTAAATCTTGTGCCAAGATACTCCCTGTGAATGTCTTTCACAAAAATAATCAGGACAAAGTAATTCGCATGTATGCAATTATTGACGACCAAAGCAACCGGTCTCTCGCCGCTCCTAAATTCTTCAGCCTATTCAACGTACAGGAAGAAACAAAAGACTATATGTTATCCACATGCTCCGGCAGCAAGGTTACTTCCGGAAAACGAGGAAACGGCTTTGTCGTAAAGTCTGTACAAGACAATACTAGATTCAATCTGCCTGAACTGATTGAATGCGATAACATTCCCAATAATCGGAACGAAATTGCTACAACTGAGGATATATTGCAATATCAACACTTGCAAGAACTACAAAAAAATATTCTCCCGATTGATGGAAAATGCAAAATCCTATTGCTCATTGGAAGAGACCTAATAGAGGCACATCACGTCCTTGATCAACGTCTAGGACCACCAAAGGCTCCATTTGCGCAAAAGATAAACCTGGGTTGGATTATCGTTGGTGAAATACGCTCCGATAAGCAACATGTTCACCTTGAACTCACTACAAAGGAAACAAATCCAGCTTGCAGTGTTGTGAAACCACATACAAAGAAATTACCTGAGTGTAATAAAACCAACACCCAGTCAAATGGAATTCGAACTGATTCGTTTAAACAATATCCCCGTTTACATGGGCAACCAAAAACGAAATCAGCGACTTCGATCGTCAAATTTGCAGAAGACAAAAAGTTCATTTCGGAAGCAACATTACCAAAAGTGAATGCCGACAAAGAAAAATACATCCGAAAACATTTTATTCCCAAGGAAAGCTTCAATTTGCCTTTGGATACGCAAGGACAAGAGGAAAGTAGAATGGACAATTCGGACTTAAGTCACAGAGGAAAAGAACATGACACCGGTTGGTCTACTATATGCCGTAAACGTAAAGGAAAGCGTCCGGTTTGCAAGACGTCCCCGTTGGATCGCATATCTGTGTCGAAAGGAGATTCATCCATCAGAACTACAGCCATGGAATTGGATCTTAGATCGCCGCGATCTCGTCGGAAACACCGCCTTGTCTAGGATAGAGGTTGTGAAATACCCATCCTCCCGTTGGATTACTTCCAAGTTCATATAAGTGGAACTTTGGACTGTTGTTTTATATTTAACATTTTATTTGTTTTAATAATGGAATAGTGATGTCAGATAGACCTCAGACGGGGAGTGTTCTGGAACTCATTCATCATTTGTTCTTCATGTGATCATCATTTTATATTGTTTATGTTTCATTGCGTACATCACTTTATATGCTCCAGTTTTAGGAGTTTTATACAGGACAGTGTAGGAACCCATGTTACTTTCCCCTCTCTTCTGAGTGACGAAAACTGCTCAGCAGGCCGTGTGCACAACTACAAGGAACATTCAGCGGACACGTTGTCCAAAGGAACCATTCGTGGCTAACCACAGCGTGAGTTACCTTTAAAACATTACAAATTATGTCTTTACATCAGCGATGAACTGTTTTAATATGTTTTCCTATGTTATAAAGAAACTATGAACATTTAACCGTTCAAACTGTTCGTATCTGCGATTACACAATTTAGTTCAGACAGAACCCGACGTGTGCAAGAATATTCATCTATTTATTATTATAAAGAACATTAACAGCTTTATAAATCTACGAACTGTTTATCCGTATTTTTAATGGACTTTAATTATCATTGAACACATTGTAAAATTGTATTTATATTTGTATTTTCAGTTTTTCACCATTTGGATTGGTAGTGAAGTAAAAGTCAGCTCCTGATTGTTTTATCTTTACATAAACCCAGTCATCTTGGTTAAACTCGCTGGTCCGGCCAGTACAAGAATTTAATTGCTAGTATCACGATGGATAAATGTTAAAACAATGATAAGAAAGAAAATTTATTATGTTTCTGTTTTTACTTTACGTATCAGCTTTCTTTTTATTGAGTCATAAGTAACAATAATTCAAATTTCCCTTCAAATTCAATGAAAACAGGTCATTGTCTGTTTTTTTCTATCAGGAAACATATAGATCTAGCGCAAACATCGACAGAAGAGTTCTAGCGACATTATGTTTGTTATAACAAATAACAGACTAGAATATTAAGTTTGTCAAAATATGCGCTATATGTTTTCTAGGTTTACATTTGGTTGAAATACAGATGAATAAATAGTTGTAAAATTTCACAAACATCTTTTGTTAACCTATTTTAAAGTGTCAATGTTAACTTTCATGAGAAAAATTCGACAACAGATGTTCTAATCCACTCTCTGAAATGTTTATTCATCTGCTTGACACACTTTTCATCTTGCAATAAATGACTTGATATTGAAAGCCAAATAGAAACCTTAGAGAATATACCATTGTGTATGAAATAGTTCTCTTTTTTTATGCATCATACAATTTGACGTACCCGCTACTGAGGTATCCGGTCTGTTCAATCTCATCTGTTCTGCAGGATTACCTGAATTTTTTTTCTTTCTTTTGACTTTCTTCACAAATCGTTTTGCTATGAAAATATCAAATAAACTTAAGAAGACTTCGATAATAACTTCATGTGATTAATTGCATATTCATTTTGTTACTTCTTATCGATACTGTTACCTTGTTGCTGTCTCGTTGTTGTAAAACCCTCATTCTATCATATTTATTATATATAACCATGCTGCATTTAATGGACCTTTTAAGCGTATTTTCCGTAATTGTTGGATATCAACATGTTCATATCCTGACTCCATACTGACTGTTATCTATTGGATACTGTTTGGAATTTTGCTGCACAGAATCGAAGGTTAGCTATGGCATCAATATATTGAACAACGCTTTTAGCTATGATATAAATCTTTTAAAATAATTTCCATTCACCTTACTTAAAATTTTCGATTGGCGGAGGGCTATTTCTTTTAATTTTACACTTTGTAAGCTTATATAATTGTGTATGATAAAACCTTAAAAGAAAATAATGAAAACGCATGGAAAATGTAAAAGTTAAAAATAAAGGAACAGAGTTCCAATTTCCCCCGCGTGGCACATACTATATTTGTTCAAGGTCAATAACTAAAAAAAATATTTTTTTTTTAAACTTTTTAAAATTATCTTGAGAGTTAAAACTTAAGAGCAATTTCTGATATATTTAATATTTCCAAGGTGGATAGCTCATTAAAAATATTTGATCGGCAATTATTTTCGAAACTGTCCGTGACATTGCTGATATTTACCTTTCATATGAATTTGATAAAAAATCTAGAAAGAGTTGTACTTATGAGAGCGCTAACAATGCAATTTTTTATATTATTAATATTTTCAAGGGCCATAACTCTGTTAAATATTATTGATCCGCACTGATTTTCGAACTCATCCGAGACATTGCTGATTTAAACCTATAATCATATAAGTTTCATAAAAATCTGGCAAGAATCGTACATGTGAAAGCGCTAACAAGACCAGACAGACGGACGCCCGGTATTTCTATGTCTCCCGCAACGCGTTGCGCGGTGAACAACACAGATCACTTGGAAATATACTCGTTGACATTTTTTATGACTTATACATTTCAGCAGAAATAAAAATAAAATCTGATCCAGTCAAAATAAATTAACGGATTTTCATATATAAGTGAACATCTTCTGAGGAAGCTTCAGAATATGAAATCAGGTAAGGAAAAGAAATAATTGAAAACAAAATATCCTTTGACTTTCAAAAGGCATATGCAATTTAATCAAAATTCCACTAGGCAAAAACATCGAACTGAAATTTGTATCTTTGGTGATTTAAAAAGGACTAGGCTCACAAGTTTTCAAACTAAATACAAATAATTTAATTTTGGATGTAACGCGTCTTCCGATTGGCTGACGTTGTTTTGTATATCAGCACATAGACATAATTTTGTCATGTGACCTTGACGTCATCAACGTTTTTTCATGATTTACTCCGGTTTAAAATGGAATAAGAATTAAATTATAAGAAATGACTGTAATATTTTTTTTCTGTCTATTCGAAATAACATAAAAAAATGTGGTGCACACTTTAAAATAACCCGCTACGCGGGTTATTCAGTGTGCACCACATTTTTGATGTTATTTCTTCATAGACAGAAAAAATATTACAGTCATTCCTTAAATAAAACATATTTTCGAAACATACGCACTCAGGTCGGGAAATTTATGACAGTATTTATTAGAATTTTTTGCTAGATATAATTTATGACTTGTTGATATTACCATGCAGTTGTGATATATGTCTCATGATCGAAATCGATTTGCTGTTCTAGGGGCTGTATTGGAAATGCATTCAGGAAAGAATTTTTGCTCCATGTTTTATAAGAACATCATTGTGACTTTAAGTAGGACTAATAAATAATACCAATGAAAACACTGTTCCTTTTCTTTTGTTTTTTTTTCATGTGCCGGAAGTGATTTATTGTCATGAACTGACATACAATATCCTTACTTGTCCATAATACGATTATTAAAGCGATATAAACAATATACATAGTATAAATATGTTTGATTTGGAAAATTACATAGTACGTTGTGGTCTAGGAAATATGTATATTTCTTCTCATTAAAATCTTCCTTTTTGAAATAAACATGTATCTTTCAATGTATTTTGTTTACTGTATCAATGTTTATACTACTATGACAAAGTGTTTATCTAATTATAGCTTAAGTTCGTTTTTGATTCGAATATGCAAACATACTAGAATTTCTGAAACCTTCCCGTATGCTGATAGTGTCTGGATTACTGATAAAACAAAGCGACACTTGAGTCAAGAGCATCGACGATACACAGAAGCCAATTGGTTTGGCAGTGTCGTTTTCAACATCTTCACCTGAAAAAATAAGTACATGATGATTATTCACCAGTGAAGAGACACAATAAATTTATATTCTGTAACATTTTCTATGTTTTCATTTTTTAACCTTAAATTCGATGGTTCTATTTTTGTTTTTTAACATGAGGATCATAGCTCTGATGACATTTTTTTTTATTTACCATGTAAAAGGATTTTGGCCAATTTATTACGCTATTCTGAAGACCATTATTGCTTTCAGTCAATATGATAAGGTCATAAGCAAACAAAGAATCGATTTTTCAAAATTAAATATTCTATTTTCAATCTATATGTATATTTATTCTCATAGTTTAAAAGAGAATCATTTATAAATAAGTTAAAGGGTGATGGGCTGATACTCTCTTTCATCTGTTTCACTTTTCTGTCAATAGAAAATAATCTAGAATGTTATTCATTATCTTCAGTACGAATAAACTGCTGTTTTATATTTTTAAACATGAGTTTTCCAACAGCCATCTTACGAAGTTTACATTACATTCCAGGACGATAAACAATCAAACATCAACCATATTATTCCAATCCCCTACAGTGAATCGAAAGCATTTTTATAGTTCCGCAAACTACAGTAGAGTCTTATAATGGTTAAATAGGGACACGATAGGACATGTGTGTTATTTTAAAAATTGTACAAACCTTCGTTCGTTTTTTTGACGTCAAAATTAGTATAATTTCAATTTAATAACACATTTCATATTAACAGGCTGTCTGGCCATTTTTCATTTTTCATTTTTTTTTTTTTTTTTAAGAATGGAAACATTATAGCAAATTCGTCGATATAAATAATCTTTTAACAGTATATAGTCCTCGAAAACTTCCCTTAATATTTTCTATTATTTCAACTCATTTATAGAACTGTTTCCGACGACACAGTCATAATTTTGTTTTAACATTACTAAAATCAAAGAACTCACTGTCCTGTAAAAACTGCTTGAATGATATATACTCTGTATGTCCTGCTAAATAAATGGATCCTAAAGTTAATATTACGGCCAGTATAGGTCGTCTCCATTGAAGTAAACTTCGTTCTGATAGTGCGTAGCCTGCAAAACAAAACTAATTAAAATGTATAAGATTTGAAACAAAATTAAATTGGACGATGCATTTTTTGGGGGTTTTATTATGGATACTTGTCGTCTCAGTGTAAACTACCACGTAACTAATATGTTGTTAATTTTATTCTAGATGATATTATAATATCAGAGAAGTGATCATTTTTCTGATTGGTTGAAACTCTTATATACATACAATGTCATAGATAAACATAACACGCGATGATTCACAGCAGTCTTCTTGAAAGTTTGAAATTTACCCCTGATATCTGGTCAGGCAAATGAAAAATTTTGCCTAACCAAAATATAATTTGCTTGGCCGAAAAATTGAAAAAAAATGTCTGAATTTGTTTAGACAATAGGCAATAATTGTTTGACCAAACCAAAATCAAATCTCATCTGATACATTTTTTTTATCACCTTTGTTCTTCCAGGATTGCATAAAAAACATTTCAAGCAAAGAAAGACAATTGGTCGTCCCAAAAAACTTGTACTGAATTTTATTTACTTACAAGTTGTATATATCTTTTTCCGGTTTCTGCACAAACTCCATGTTAGAAGTACAAAATACATGCATGTCAAAAACGAACAGAAAATTGGCACCGTAAGTGAATGTCGGATAAAAGCAATCAAGTCTCTATTTTCTGAAAAGATAATATAAAAAAAAGTAGCAAACTCTTCAACAGTTTATTGAGTTCACACGTCATTAATTCAACATCACGAATATCGGTTTTTTCATGCTCCGCTGGACGCAGCTTGATACGACCGTAGAGGTCGAACCCTAAACAATTGGGGCAAGTATGGACACTACATTCAAGCTTGATACAGCTCTGAATTTGGATTGTGATTAAATATTTGACACAAAATAGGTTTCTGACACAGAATGAATGCGGTCAAAACACTGAAAAAATTGAAATTTGATTTTTACCTATTATGGTCTAATATCCAAAATCTAAATACACGGTTAGATTCAGCATACCCAGGTTCACCAAGCATTTAATTGCATCTTTTTTTAACTATGATTCTACTTAGAATTTCTGTTCATTTTGCAATACAGCTCTTAATTTGGATTGTGAATAAATATTTAACATAGCATAGGTTTCTGACACAGAATTAATGTACATGTGGTCAAAGAACTTAAAAATTTGAAATTGGACATTCAGCTTATCCCAAATCTAAATACATGGTTAGATTCAGTATATCAAAGAACCCCATACATTCAAATTTTGTTAAAATATAACAAAAAGTTTTATGTTGGACCCTTTGCACATTAATGTGGACCAATTTGAAAACCGGGCTTAAAATCAAAAATATGAATACACGGTTAGATTTAGCATAACAAGGAACCCCAAGAATTTTTTGTTGATATCAAACAAAGTTTAATTTTGGACCTTTTTAACTTAATGTGGACCTTAATGTGGACTAATTTGAAAACAGGCCAAAATTAAAAATCTAAATACACGTTTGACTCACCATATAAAAGAACCCAATTTATTCATCTTTAATGAAATCAAACAAAGTTAAATTTTATACCATTTGGACCTCAAGGTGGATCAATTTAAAAACGGGGCCCAAAATCCAAAATCTAAATACATGGTTAGATTCAGAATATTAAAGAACCTCAAATATTCAAAACTTTGAATTAAACCCCATTGAAATTGGTCAAGAAATAAGCAATACATACAAAGTATTAGAAAAGTACTGTTTTTTTTGCTCTTTGTTCTGAAACGGTTAGAGCCATAACCCCCAAAATTAATCTCAACCTTCCTTTTATGGTATGCAAACTTGTGGTACAATTTCATAGAGATCCATATACTTATACTTAAGCTTCTGTCCGGAAATCAGAAAATTCTAGTTAGTTTGCCCCTTTTGTGGCCCTTATTCCTAAACGATTGGGGCCATAAACCCCAAAATCAATCCAAAGCTTCATTTAAAAGTATGAAACCTTGTGGTACAATTTCATAGAGATCCATACACTTATACACAAGTTATTGTCTTGAAACAAGAAAAATGTTTGTTTTTTTGCCGCTTTTTGGCTAGTTATTACTAAACAGTAAGGATGATTACCCCCAAAGTCAATCCCAACCTTCCTTTTGTGGTATGGAACCTTGTGGTACAATGTCATAGAGATCCACACAACTTTACTCAAGTTATTGTCTGGAAACCAAATGTCTTCAGACGACGACGACGACGACGACGCTTACAAAATCATAACATCATACGACTGCAAAATTGCGATCGTATAAAAATATGCGATAATAACTCCATTTTATGAGTTTCTGAAATTCATTACTCCCTTTTACAGTCAGTGTTAAGAATGCCGTTTGTACTTAACAAATGCATTCCGTAAAGACAGTTAACCTAGTCTCGATCTCCAAATCCGAGTCTTAAGTAGATAATTCGTCAAACTTCTAGTTTTTTACTTAAAAGAATGTGTTGTTGTCTATACCTTTGTGCAATTGATTTATGAGAAAATAAAGTTTAATTAGTTTAAAACGAAAAATTTCCAGAGTTTGTCTTCATTTCTAAGAAAGCGGCTGTGATAGAGAGCACTCTTTTTCCTTCCAAAATTACAAATTCGCCAGAAACAATTGAGAACATAAAATAGATTGAAAAATAGGTTAACTGTATTAAAACAAACCAGATATTTGTGCACATTTCAACAATGTGATCTTTGAAAGTTATTTTCTTTGATGCCAAAATTGGATAACACCGGTACTATTTCTTACAAAATGATTTTGGACATGAAGTAAAATTCCCAGATATTGTAAAATATTTTACTTCTTAAGTTGTACAATTGAAACATAGGACGCGTTGTTTTAAGATTCATTATTGAAACTCATTCTTGTTTGGACAAACAAAAATTAGAAATAAGAGTTAAATTTATTTAAAAAGAGGCAAAATATACCAAGGGAACATTCAAAACTCATAAGTCGAGAGAAACTGACAACGAAATGGCAAAACAAAACAATTTTGAATAACGTGCTGGAAAATTGTTGTATCATGAAGAAAATAGTTTTGGGATGGCACAATCTCCAAACATTTCACTTTGTCTTCAACATATATATATGTAGGACTCTAAAGTGCGATGGGGACGCTAAAGTACGATGGTCACACTAAAGTGCGATGGTCTGCGCTAAAGTACGATGCCTCCATACGCTAAAGTCCAATGGTCCGCGAATGTATAGACGTAAGAAACGTAGTTGGATTATGACGTTAACAGTCGTTTATACATACCAAGTATGAACATGCCGGAAGATAAATTAAGAATATTTGATTGACAAATTTTAAACCGACCATTTTACTATAGAGATACAAAATAGTATGCGCATAGGTATCCTGTATCCTGCTTCTACTGGAAGAGAACGGATACATTAATTTTAGATCATTGTTTACGTTGCTATTTACTTTGCGGTCCCCGTTAAAATATTGTCGATTTTATTGAAAAGTAACGTCGGTAAAATAAAGGTACATGTTTTAAGCGTAAATTATAAATTGTCGGCTAAAACATTAGTTTGTACATTGTAGGAAATTATAACACGTATTTGTACTCGAAAAAGGAGAAAGCTCGACGAACATCGCCTTTCTCTTTCATTTAAATTAAAGCTTACACAAATAAATGTTACATATTCCGACAATGAACGAATTTTGTATTTGTAATTTACAATGACGACTGTAAGGGGAGGTGTTCACATTAGTGATAGACTGTGTGAACGGCAAGCTACACCAATTATCTAAATATTTAATACGTCCGAATTGTTAAAATTCATTTTACAGGAAATACAGTTTTTTGTGACACCTAAATTACTTTTTTTAGCAATTATTACGTGGTCGGTCTTCTAAATTTAGAAACAATCGCTTAAGTCTTCCGGTAAATTATAAAGCCTATCACATATGTTATACCTTAGCATACTAGCTTTTGCAAAAAGACAATTTTTTAACATCCATGTACTTTAACGTTTTAAGCCCTCTAACCTTACCCTTTTGGTCCATCGAACTTTAGCGTGATATACCATCGTACTTTGGCAAACAAACAACCATCGCACTTTAGCGTGAGACACCATCGTACTTTAGCGTAGACCATCACACTTTAGCGTGACCATCGCACTTTAGGGTCCTACATATATATACATTATATTAAAGATTACATATTTCTGAACAATTTTCTAAACAATACAATGACTTACCGGAACAATTTGTCATTTCTGAGGTCAAAATTGGAATCAATGTGCTTCCAACCAGGCAGGTAATATTTATTTTAACTGGGCACTGCTCTTCAGCTAACTTGAATTCAAAGTCAAAATATGTGGAGAAGAAATTTCCAACACGACTTGCACTCTGATTTATATATTCATCTAGTTTCTGAACCTGGAAATAAAAAGAAACTGTTCTTTACATAATACTAACTGATATCAGGAAATAGTGACATTTGATTTTCAATTAATATCAATATTTGATTCAAACTAACAAGACTAGAATCGGGAAATCAATAATTCAACAAAAAACAAAACTGAGAAATATTTGTTACTTTTGTGATCAGTAACAGCAAACCATCATGGCAAATGTCTTTGTCTTACTTTATAGCATACAAGGTTATATCAAATTTCACAATGTCACACATTAATGGGCAAAGTTTACATTCATGGTGGAAAAACTTAAATACTACACGGTTGTTCCTAAGAATGAAATTCAAATTCTTCTACACTCAAGGCCGTATGCATCTCAGAAAGTCAACTATTAAAATATCTTGTCAATGTCACCTCTCAGATTTAGGCCTAGACCTCCTCGGTTCAAACTATTTATTGGCTACCTAAACTACACAAAAAACATCAAATACCGTTTCATCTCAGGTTCGAGTAAGTGTTCTTAAACAAATATGTTTATGTTGTTAACTAGTTCCCTTTAGTTACTGAATTGATAAAACTTGATTTCAACTTTTGAAATAAAGCATATGAAAATAAAAGAACAGAGTTCCTATGTCCCCCGCGTTGCACATATTTTATCTATCCAAGGTACAAGGGCAATAACTAAAAAAAGCACTTTGTTTGTTCTTTAAAACTTTTTATTAATATCTTAGAGAAATGAAGGCTTCAGAGCAAATGCAATGTGATTTTCATTATAGTTAATGTTTCCAAGGGGCATAACTTTTTTTTAAAATAATTGATCGGCACTGATTTTCGAAATCGTCCAAGACATTACTGATATAAACCTATGATATAAGTTTAATAAAAATCTGGCAAGAATTGTACACGTGAGAGCGCTAACAAGACCGGACGGACGCCCGGTGTTTCTCTGTCCCCCGCAACGCGTTGCGCGGGGGACAATAATGGAATAAACTTTTTGGGGATACAGTGTAAAACAATCTTTTGACGTTTTAGATCTTTTAATGTGTTAGAAGGTCCGTTAAATTTGGTTGACATCTATGATTTTTTTACTTTCTCCACTTCCATTAAAAAATATTATTAAACAGAGGTTTTCTTATTTTAAACAAGCATTCTGAGAGTATTGCATGGCAATACATAGTCCCCTACCGGTGAAAAATTCATTGTAATGGAAAAAATGTTAATCTGATCTATATCTTAACATGGTGTAAACTGTATTACAAATATTAGGTCAATATCTTCAAGCTTGACGAAAAAAAATGTGGAAAACTGATTATTTGAGTGAATTTTCCAAGTCCAAGGACAATAACTCTGCACAAAATCATCAGACCGGAACAAAATTCAAACTTGATCTGTAGTTTGTCATGTTAAAACTATATCCCAAATATCAAATCAATATCTTGAAGCATGAAGAAGAAAAGTGTGGAAAACTGGTTTGCCGGGCTGACGGATGGACAGACAGTCAGACGGACGGACAGAGTGCAAACCTAAAGTCCCCTTCGACTTCGTCGGTAGGGGACTAATAATCCTTTCAAAATCTGTTTTCAGATTTATTTGCTGTCACGCAATTAAAGCCCTACTCTGCAATTAAAAAGGGAAATTTGCAAAATATATCGAACTTTTTGATGAGATGATTATAGCTGTAAATTTTCAACATTAAAGTACTTTTCGGCAATAAAGTGTGTCGACAGGTTGTATGCATTTCTTTGGGCACACATCACGCTTCTATAATAACGGACTTGTTCCTGTACTGTTATGAATCACAGTTTTGATCAAACGCAGTAAAAATTTGTCTTATGCCCATCTAAATGATAAAATCACAACACTTAGGGTGACCTTGATGATATGTTTGTTTATATAGAAAAGAATTATATAATTATTCTTCACAAATGTACCAAAGGGAAAGGAATATTTTTTTATAAATAAATCTAGTCTTTACAGCAATAATGGTCCTTCTTATTTTTATATTTATCTTTACTACATTTGGATATAACAGTTTCACATGGGCATACCAAAACAAAAATTTGCGACAAAAGAGACGATTTTTCGTTCCTTATTTCGAATGTTCCATTGGTTGCTTCTTACGATGTGTATATTTCTAAAAGTTGTTCGCTATTCCCGTGTTTGCAGTGACGTTTAGGATTACAATAAATGTAATCTATGTATAACTGGTAAATAATCAAGTTGTCAGGGATTTCAATACCATAAATTAGTTTTTTTTTTTTTTTTACTAATTTAAGTCTTTCATAGACCGTTAGATTTGGTTTTCAAATTGGCTGTACCTAAATAAAAAATTTCATGAAAGAGATATCACAGATTAAGAATTTTAAAATTCCATTTATTGACATGAAATCAGGTAAATGCAACAAAAAGGGAATGACATAAAGTGGATTGCCGAATTTACTGTACAAAGTCACTTGAACCACACCAGTTCACAAATAAACTTCGAGAAAACTCAAAGCAATATATTTATGGTTTAATTCATACATGTAACATATAATTTTGTAGTTTTCTGTGTTCATTTTTTGTTTTCTAATTTTCGAAGACTTATTTCTTGTCTGTCCTGTACAGTATTTATATATAAATTATCCAATCTAAACCATCTCCGATACCATAAAAGTGATTCAATAAATCTCATATTCCTTTTCATTTTAATTTTTTGGTTTCATCATAGTCAGCTTTCTGTATTTTCGGTATTTCGCCGAAAAAACTCTACCAGAGTCGTGCATCTGTCGTGCAAACTTAAATCACAAGGGCTCGGGTGTTATTTTAAAACTTTACTTGCTCTCTATCCAATGAAAACATCAGAAGAATAAAATAATTTTCCTGGCCCCCTGTGCTTAATCTGGGATCGATACTGCAGCGGCTGTCGTATATTTTTTTACTTAAAGAAACCTTAAATAAAATAATGCTGAACGTTGAGAAAGCTCATAAATAAATATCTCGGGTAAATGTTTTATATGGGTTAACACTACATAGCAACCAAGTATTAATCAATTGTCAATAGACGTGTTAGGAAAGTCATTACGATTTTGACGCTGAATTTAAATACCAGTACCCATACATGCTATAGTGGGGACCATCTCAAAAAGCACAGATTATCATTCATTATAGTTACCTGTATGGGTTTGTTTGATAATGATGAGATGATTTTTAAACAATAAAACAGTAACAATTTATTCCGCAATACACGGACGAGGATTCAGCAAAACAACACGATCATTATTCTAAAAATTGCATTGTTTCATAGTAGTGATCGATTAACTTTAAGATCGTTGTTCCCCCATTTCTTACTATTTGTTGAACGACTACAAAGAAAATCTACAAAGTGATCAGAATAAATGCATGAAAAAAAAACCACAGGAATCAGATCACATTCGAATCTGATTTTTTACTCTACATCAATTTGTGTTCAAAATGTTCGTTTATTTGAAATATATTTAAAATATACTTGTCATGTCGGGGCCTTTCTTAGCTTTTATGTGGGATGGGTTTTGCTCCATGTGGAAGGTTGTCTATTTTGGCAATCATACCACATCTCCTTATTTTATATCATTTTCTAGAAAAGAGAAATGTGTTACATAGTAGCGTAAAATTCTAAAAATAAACCAAACCAGAAATTTGTGTACTTGACAATAAAAAAAAAATAATGAAACAAAAGCGTTTTCAATTAGATTATCTTTATATTTTTATTTTATTTAGAAAGGTCACTGGCAATTTAATGTGATGTTGTAAAGCGACAATACCTAAAACAACGTCAAAATGTGTGAATTATTTATTCTTATTCACATTTTCCCTGACATTTTCTTTCTATCAACTTTTATCAGTTAGTTTTTCGAAAAAAGAGGGGTTATCGAATTAAGTTTTAAAAGATTACAACGTTTAAACATTATCAAGCATGTTAAATTTACGTTTCGATGAAGGGTCGGAATTTTTTTTTTTCTTTTTATCACGGCTCCTCCACCAACAAAACAGAATACCACGATTAAATTGAGGTATTGTTGAAAGTGGGTTAAACTTTCATATCGAGGAAATAATTTTATTATCTTTTGGTCAGGAGGATATTTTGAAAACGGAATATTCATTTTCACCTGTTGCAAAACAAAGTCTGCTAAATTATGTGTCAGGCAATTTTTTTTTTTCGATTTCCTTCATTTTGTTTTGCCTAATATTCACTATACTCTCCGCTTTCTAAATTGGACGGTATATAGCGATGGGTGAATGGGTCCATTCGTCCGTTCTTTCGTCCCTCTGTCCATGCATTGCATTCATACCCAGATATAGAAGTAGACAATACGAATCACATTTAGCTCGTGAAAAGTGGTTTTCTTGACATTAAAACGATGTGCAGCAAGACTACCTTCTTCTGTAGCCCCTGCTTCTTAAAGTTTTATATAGAAATAGCACTGTATCCACTTGTGTCCACTATTTTTTTTTATATAGATATAGATATAACGATGTGTTCAGATTAGGACTGATTTGCTTAAGCCACACATACGTGTCCCTGTATCCCCGGACACAAAATACATGGTAACTATATTTTGCAACGAAAATAGGACATATTTATTGTGGAGAGACACACTGAGTTATTTAACGATTAACCATATTCTGATCATATCACTTAATGTATATATTTGGACTTGTAGCCGTAAAATCCGTCATTCCCATTCTTGACTTTTACATATATTTTGTTAAGTTTTGTTTTGCACTCTTAAATCAAACAAATACAAATGAATGTATGAAGATATAAGTAAGGCCAATGCACGTCTTAAAATTTGGAGTCGACGTTAACCGTTCGCTTCATGTTGTTTCAAACACACCACAAAGCTAAACTATACTACGCCGGGATACTTTTCAAGCAACTGCATTTTGAGAAAGTCCACACTTAAATCTTGTATCGGTATTGGTATTGAACATCAGCGCAGTATTTAAATCCCTTTCCTAACACGTCTATTACATTAAACAGTATCACGTTGTTTGTTAACATCAACATAGTTTACGAAATATACAGTCCACATTAAGCAACTTCAACAGATACAGACAGAATTATAGGTGATAGCCATAATAAACTTTAGGGGATTTCCACTAAATTTATGCTCTTTTCCTTTTAACACAATACTCTAAAACGTATTTGACGTAAAATGCCGGAAGCTATCGAAACATAACTAAAACAGGTTTCCCTTTTTTTCATTTCTTGTCAATATATTTATAAACCATGCATCGAAGTTGCGAAGGGTATACTGTTTTGATACATCCGTCCGTCCTCTTTTCGTATTTCTGCGAGTCCGTCCGTCATTATTTTATTGTTGGCATGCTAGTGTCTTCTATTTTTTGAGGGGATTCTTTTAAAACTTGAAAATTAATATTTCCCTACATCAAAAACATGGATTAGTTCGATAATCAGTAAAATTTGAGATTTGGATCCATTTTTCGCAATGGGGACTTATCCCATATTAATTATTTTGGGATATGGGATATAGTGGCATCTGAGATTCCTCACTAAAGATTCATTCATTGAAAACATAAAAAGTGCTTTTATTAATGAACAAAATAAAGTTATACTCACGCCGAACAAAACAGAACACTTAGGCACAGGATATACTCTGGATATGTTCACAGAAACAAAAAGGTCATGCACTGATATTGAGAAATTTTTGTGAATGTCATGTTCTTCAGGATGATCTGTAAAATATAATTGTAAAGTACATTTCGTGAAACAATTCGGCATATTTTGTTAAAAATGAAGAAGCCGATGGTAAAACATGCTACATCGTCAACCAGTTTGCTTGAGTTCCTTATTGACAACATATTTGCCAAAAGGTTGTGAGGATTTCCATGGGAACCAACTATACCCCTCTCCTTGTATACATTGTATATGAGTCAGAGTATCTTCTGGCAATTCTAAATACAAGAAGATCAAATAAGCTATATCATTTAATTTTACAGGTATTTTGATGATTTTCTTTCCATTAAATTTTGTACTTCAGTGGTCATCTAAGTACCAAAATCTATGACAAACTAGATCATTTCATATTTGAAATCATAAACTTGTTGTACCTTTGCAGCAATATACCATCTTCACAAACCGTCTCAGTGGTCTCGTGGTAGCGTGTTCGCCTCAAGTGCAGGAGGGCTTTAATATTGGTATTTGCTGCTTCTCCAATGAGCACGCGGCTTTGAGGAGTAAAAGTAAAGACTGGTCGACTAATGGTCAGAATAATGTGTCTTTTGGTATGGTGACATGTCTTCCTACGGACTAGTACCTTGTGAACTATCAGGTTAAAAATCCCGCTAAGTGTGTCGGTCTAGTACAAAGCATGGTTAATATATCATTAATATGTTCTCGTACTGAATATGCATTAATTTGCCGCTGGACTTAAGCAGTCATCAATCAATCAGTCCAACTTCACGCGCGTATGCAGTATATATCTCTAAACTCATACAATATTCAAAAGCTTGCAGCTGCTATCTAGACTTTTAAAACTTCAACGGTGGTTGAGCAAAAAAACAATCAGCCAGGGTTGTGTCAAAGAACGGCTCGTCCTTTTTCTGAAAAAGTTCTTCGGAAAGTACCAAGTTACGTTCAAAACAAAAATATGTGCAAAGTTACACATTAAAATAATAAAACGCAGACGGGAATATAATGTTTAGAAAAAAGCGCATTGTTTAAACTAACTGAATTCACGATTGCTGAAATCTGATGACAAACATATTTTGTCTAAATTCACGCACTACTTATATAAATGAACTTACATTCAAAATCATTTTCTGCCAAGGAAAGCTTTAATCTGCATTCGGAAAATCCAACTGTACAACAGTAACTGTGATTCAGATCTGATTCCGATAAATTTGAGATTAATAACTCAAAGTCTGAGCAAGATTGTACTTTCTCAGAATACCTTCCAACTTTGCTCTTTGGAATTCCTTCCAATACAAGTAGATCAAGGTTTTCCCCACCCATCCACACCCTAGATTCATTTTTAATGCAAATCAAGGGATTTGTGTTCCTACATAGTATACTAAGTGGTTGTCCGAATATAGCTGGTTTAGAGCCTATGGTACATTCAACTGAAATTTTAAAAGAAATAATTTACGTCATACATATTGCACTTATACACGACTGACAATAACTTTTTAAAGTTTCATTTTTAGTCACGCGCTGTTATGTTGCTGTCTTTCTGACGTTTATCCATCCAATCATCTTTATCTACATTTGCTTGTATATACTATGCAAAAACAAATTCTTTAACATTTGTTACTGCTCTCTGATTTGTCTATAAATATGACATCGTTATGTCAGCCATGTTGTCTTGTTCTTTTGCATGACTAAGTCGAAGAAAGTGAACATTATTTCATGGTGTGTAACACACAATACATACCTTCGCCATATAACTCTGAAAACTTTGTTGATAAAATGGTCAATAGTTGGAATATGAAGCCGAATAAACTCCCTAAGACATCCATTACATATTCATCTATTAAAAAAAGGAAATAGCTGTAATAACTTCATTCAAATGTAAGTCGACGCCTGTACTTAAGTCTGAACTGTAGTTATTTGATTGTACATTATATTTTACAATGGTATTATACTCAGACTCACAATAATAATATTAAAGCGATCCTCGTCGGAAAAGGAGTGATGTCTATCGGAGGTGGTTCTGACACTCTGTACTGATTGATACCGTATGAACTGTCTTTACAGCACGTGCCTCTGAAATCCTTCATAATGTACGCTGGAGACGGTAAAAATTAAAAGCCTATAATACAGAATGAAGAAGGACACACATACCAAAATGTTAAAACTGAACGGACAGATCATCCCATATCTTCCATGTCCAACTATGCTTGAGGCAGTGGCGACTTTAGATTTAATACTTTTGAGTACTTCATTTCGGTAGCTCCACAAATATTAAAGTATCTAAACATCCCTTTTTTTCCCTCTTTGTATGAGCCTTTCTAACGAAGATAACTCAATAAAACGCTTCCGCCACACAAAATTTATCAAGTGTTATTTTCATTTCATACACTGATAATTTGTAGTCAAAATATATTATTTTAATCATACAAGTATCGAAGCACTGGTTGTTGTTCGGATGATTCGTTCTAGGACTGACAGTCAACTGCAAGAGGCATCGACTTGGTGTCAGTAATATAAACACACGAAAACGATTTCCGTACTCATGACACGTGTTTTTCGGAAAACCTTCATCATGTAGCAGATAATAAAAGTTCGAGAGGTAAAATTCAGGAAACATTTAAAAGCTTAAATTTAACATAAAAAAGGTCCAGCTGTTATTTTTTTCCATTTTGTTGCTGTCTCATTGACGCATACCTAACATCTATTATTAGTCCTCAATATAACTGATAAAATAGAACAAGGTGAGTTTTCCCTGAGGGAGTCACAACCTTGGTTTTATTACAATTAAATGTTTCATATAAAGAAAACGTTCAATTAAATATCAGTTTAATTATGGCAGAACTAAATCGCTAGATACTGGTCGAATGATACCTTCGGGAAATAACAGTCCGTCGCCAACGGTACCCATCCAATTTTGAGGTGTGAACTGCACTATACTGAAAATTTATATTCAATACTAAGAAGTTACGTTTTACAGGAGGTTCGCGCAATTTCCCCAAATACTTTCCACACAAGGGCCGTTTTTTAAAAGTCCCTCAATCCTTTTAATTCACAGTATAATAGATTCAAAAATAAAATAATTGAAGGTCTTAACAACATTTTGGTGAAATTTTGAACATATGTCCATTTTATAAATTATACTTTAAGGTGGCTTAAAAATGCAACTTTTACAGATTTTGGCATATTTATAGTATCTTAGTATCAAAAAATAAAACATCAAACGTACACCCTTAAACAAAACCAAAATTATAAGGGACGTATTAAAGCACAGACCACACATTCTAAATTAGTCTTGGTTGGAGACGTCCTTCGATGCAAAATATTACAAAAACATTTTAAATTTGCAATGTTGAATGTCATCAAAAGCCATATTCACAGAGGATAACAAATATGTTTTCTTCCAAAGAAGCTGGGGTTTGATGTACATATAGTTAAGCAAACAACTAAATACAAAAAAAAAATAATGATAAATTTGGAATAAAATTTGAAATGAATTAATAATTATTATATGGTTTACGAAGTGTTCAATCTTCCGGTAGCTCATTTTACACTATTTCTTATCATAGTCACTACTAAATGAAATTAGAACTTTGTAGCAGGTCTCTATCAAACATCGCAAACGGACAATATGACCCATTGCAAGTTGTGTATTTATTCATTTTCTATTTTAAAACGTTATTGTAGTAACAAGATGTAGAAGAACGATTTTCAATTTGAAGACACAAAATGTGTTTATGTCTTTGTGTTATCTAGTATATTAATTATTTGGCACTGGACCAGCCTTTGTGAATATATTTGACAATATCTTTTTTTTTTTTATTCAATAGCAAAATTGGCCGTTACATTAAACTAGAAAATAAAATGTTTAGTTGTTATAATATTTACATACCTTCTAGAGTATATATTTACATTGTAAATTGCCAAATTTCTCACAAATAACAGAATTGTTTACTACGCAAAAAAGTATTCTATTTTTATCATCATTACGTATATCGCTACCTGCCGGAAATCTTAAGTTAAAATAGTAAGTAGGTCAAGGCGGTGTGTAACACTGTGTTTGTAATTTGTAAATAAAGATTTTATATATAATAAGATAGTTTAAATAATCAACCTCACCAGATTAAAAAAAAAAGACAACAGACACACAAACAAAACAAAACAAAAAAAGAAAACAATAAAAAGCATTCCTTGGATAAAATGGGTAAGGACAAAGTGGCTCGACAATTTGTTAACGGTCTATATATTTATTCGTGCAAACTTAGTTTTGGTCATCTCTCATTATTCCTCGATCTTGTTCCTCTGTGTGTAGCATTTATAGCAATCATCGAAGAAAACAAACATGCATATATGTACATTAAAATAATGTTAAAGTATCAGAACTGTACAGCAAATTGAGTCCGGTGGACCTACGTGTTTAAACCCATCTCAGTTAGTGCCTGTACCATGTACCACGTCCTGTCACTTGACAATGTATTTTACTTTATTTGATATTTTTGTCCAATTTGTTTGATAGTTCTGGGTATTCTTAGTCTGCATTATATATTATATAAAAAAAAGTAAGAAGGTATCCAAATTATACAAACCATGTATTATGTCTGTGAAAATACTTACAATAGAAAGAAAGAAGACATAGGGTGATATGCCATTTTTGTTACGATTTTCAAGTTTGTCAATTGAAAATGACTTTTAATATAAAAAAGGAGATGTGGAGACAACTTTCCACCAAAGTTCAAATGAAGTTTATAATTTCATAACTTTTGGGTTTTGTAGCCGAAGTTTACCAATCTTGTTCTTCTTTAACAAACAACACAGAACTATAGGTATTGTGCTCAGTAAGTGCGTAAATGATAAGTGAGATGTAAGAGTGGTGTATATTTGTGATTTTTCAAATATTTTCCATTCGTTCCCATTAGGTTATCAACTTTTGTCATAACAGTTGTTAAAAGATTTCGTGTATTCTCATTGTTCTTTCAGAATAGGTTCAAACTTTCTTCCTTTCACGTTTGTTTACTGTTTTCTTCCATCACAGGTTTCCCCTTCGCACTTGCGTAGTGCGATTGTCTCTCAATCATATGCTACTTTCAATCTTTGTCTGGAAATGTTTTGAACAAATATACAATTACTATACACAATCTTATATAAACAAAAAAAATTCAAAAAAGACAAAACAATCCTTCAAAATATGACTAAAGGTAATCACTGACAGGGTCATTGACCTTTGGGACAAAAAAATGAGAATGTTGCAGGGTTGATATGACAGCAGAACTCACCAGGTTTATTTGTATTAGGACGAGATGGAAAAATCCAGAAATGGTACGAAATACAGATGATTGGGCAAACTCCATACAGCGTTATCGTTCGGGTCATACTTCCCTTTTTCTACAAAGAAGCATAGCCAGATGTCACCACTGTTTCGGAGTTTGATGATTGGGTTTTATGCGTATAGATATACATTGCCACTGAACACAATATGAAGCTTTTTAGCTGGTTCGCTCTGCTGACACGTCAACAAGGCTCACATTGTGGCTTTCCATTACATCTTAAATAAGTACATTTTCGTTACTTCTGTCACGAAAGCAGATGTACCAAAATTTACGTCAAGACCATTTTATTAAATAGGAAAATTTCTGTGTCAGGAGGTTGTATATACTAAGTAAATGTATACAACAAAATTATCGAAAATATTAAAGTATATGAAAACCCTCCTGAACAAAAGGAATGCTGCTTTTAAGCTAAGCTCTACCTCAATATATGATTTCTTATTCCTTCAAGAACGTAAGAGCAAACGACAGAATTGGAAAGTTGTACACAACACCAGACACTAGTTGTTTATTTTCTTTTTTAATTACAATATACATTTGAAACATTTTGTATTATTTTAAATGCAGATCGTCTCTTCTCAAAATTGGTATCGATCCAGCATTCAATTGAAATGTTCAACTGATTCCAGAAACAAAAAGAAATAAAATTATGCACTTATTAGCACTTACAATCCCTGGAGGCCATCTGAGCTATTGCAATCATTTGTCGCCCATCATCATCGTCAAACGTCCGTCAACGTAACCTCTTTCAAAAATGTTCCCCTCTTAACGACGTGACAACTTATACTGAATTTGTGCTGAATAATCTTTCAGGAATTCAGGATAAAATTGATGTTTCTTTTCTAGAAATTTAGCAACATGGCCACAAATGATAAATATAGAACAGAAGAGTAGAATGCATGTACTCGTTGTAATTGCCTATAGCTAATACATTGAAAACCATAATAGATACAATATATCTGAGAGGGATATATGCTCATAAAACTTTCAGATCTACAGACTATCTGTTATGTCGTGCATGTTCACACTATACGAATTCCATTAGCGAGGGTGTGCTCCTTACACAAAAACTGCTACAACACAGATAATTGGGGTGAAAATCCGCCAATGATGGGAATAAATATTAGAAATTAAGGCATCAGTAGTCAACCAGTAACAAAAATAGTACTTTACATATGTTGAAGCTAGCCGTCGATAACAGCGGCCGTTAATACCCATGAGGCCAGCCTTCAATAATATTCAAGAGCCGTCAATAATGTTCATGAGATGAATTGCGTTCGATGAAGTCTTGTAAGAAACTATGATCGATTATTATGATTAAATAACGTTTATGTTTATATTTGATATTGTTTCAAGTGGGCAAGTCAATGGGTGTCTTCTTCGAGCTCCGCGTTTACTTAATCAATTATAAAAAGGAACTATTGGCCTTCTACAAGGTCTGCGTCTTTTAACAACATTTAAAATGAAAGTTAAAAAAAAATTAATGCTTCCATAAACATAGAACCAAGATCAAATCTATTCAAAATCTTTGATTAGTGAAAGAATATAAACTGAAACAACAATAAATAAAAGGATGATTAAATATAGAAATTAGGCGATTACTATCAATAAAGAAATTGAACGAAAGAGATGAAATATGCTTAATTATGAATCTTGAAAACGGGACATTCAACCGGACAAATTAAATAGCACAGTTCTTATAAATATTTCTGACTTCTCGAAGTATTTAAATATTTAACAATTATACATTACACATAAACTGAAAGATATAAAAAGGAATTAATTACAAATATAGTCTCATCTCAAAAGTACTACATACTGTAAATGCGATCGTATATCTTCCATTTTAAGCAAACAAGAAAAAAAAAGTTTTACCATTCAAGAAAAAAAAAGATGAAATAAAAACTGACAGTTACTTTGTCAATGACTTTTCATTATTCAAAACTACGGAGACCAACCAGAGTCTTAACATAATCCGGTTATTGCCATTCAGAGGTAGGCATTGCGTTTAAATTGGCCCATATCACTTATGCCCTAGATCCGTACGAGTCAGCAAAGGGTTAAAAGGGGGAGGGGGTACCTCGGTATATCACGAAGTCGAAATCAACTATTGCCGGCTGGCCAAACTTGGCCATTATACTAGAGGTAGAGGTAGGCATTGCCTCTAAAATTGCCCATAGCACTTATGCCCTAGACCCGTATGAATTTGTCAGCAAAGGGTAAGGGGAGTACCGTGCTATATCACAAAGTCGAAATTAACTGTTGCCGGCTGGCCAAACTAAGAGATTCTCCACGTGGGCCATTATACCAGAGGTGGAAGTAGGCATTGCCTCTAAAATGGCTCATAGCATTTATGCCCTAGACCAGTACGAATTTGTCAGCAAAGGGTAAGGGGAGTACCGTGGTATATCACAAAGTCGAAATTAACTGTTGCCGGCTGGCCAAACTAAGAGATTCTCCACGTGGGCCATTATACCAGAGGTAGAGGTAGGCATTGCCTTTAAAATGGCTCATAGCACTTATGCCCTAGACCCGTACGAGTTTGTCAGCAAAGGGTTAAAAGCGGGAGGGTACCCGTGTATATCACGAAGTCGAAATAAACTATTGCCGGCTGGCTTAACGAAGAGATTCTCCACGTGGGCCATTATACCAGAGGTAGAGGTAGGCACTGCCTCTAAAATGGCCCAAAGCATTTATGCCCTAGACCCATTCGAATTTGTCAGCAAAGGGTACGGGGAGTACCGTGGTATATCACAAAGTCGAAATTAACTATTGCCGGCTGGCCTAACTAAGCGATTCTCCAAGTTGGCCATTATACTAGAAGTAGAGGTAGGCATTGCCTCTAAAATGGCTTATAGCACTTATGCCCTAGACCCGTATGAATTTGTCAGCGAAGGGTAGGGGGAGTACCGTGGTATATCACAAAGTCGAAATTAACTATTGCCGGCTGGCAAAACTGACAGATTCTCTACGTGGGCCATTATACCAGAGGTAGAGGTAGGCATTGCCTTTAAAATGGCCTAGAGTACTTATGCCCTATACCCGTTCGAGTTTGTCAGCAAAGGGTTAAAAGGGGGAGGAGGTACCCTTGTATATCATCAAAGTCGAAATAAACTATTGCCGGCTGGCTAAACGAAGAGATTCTCCACGTGGGCCTTTATACCAGAGGTAGAGGTAGGCATTGCCTCTAAAATGGCCCATAGCAATTAGGCCCTAGACCCGTACAAGTCAGTGTCAGTAAAGGGATTTGGGGGGGGGGGGGTGGGGTGTACTCCGGTATTTAAATAGTCAAATTAACTGGCATCGACGACAATTTTGACTGATTTTTTTGCGGTTGTATATGTCGTTAAATTTCATTGGTGATGTTAGCGATATCGTAAGAACAGTTTAAATAAATGGTGAACCAACCAACGTCCGGAGAAGATTTTGAGTAACTTTTTTACATGATTATTTGGAAAAGAGTATTAAGTCTCAAGCTTTATTACAGCCATATCATAACGTTTACTATCTTTCAAGTGGATGGATGTATCGTACTGATTACTGATGCGGCGTCAATTTTCTGATACGATGAATGTTATAGATGTAGTCAATTTATTTACTTTATGATTGGCTTCTTTTCGACATCTTTTAAAGCTGCACTGGCGGTGGCATTCACAGCTTTACCTCCTAGCGTTTTT